ACACTACTGCCAGCACAGTTCTCAGCACTGGGTACCATGCCAAAAGATCTCAGCCGGCATTTGAAAACAATAAACATTGACAAAATCACAATCAGTCAACTGCAAGAGGCCACCTTATTTGGATCTCTGCTCATCATCCGAAAATACATCACACAATTCTAAACACTTGGGAAGTGTTCAACTTGTGATTTTGTGATTCAAAATCCGGTATATACAGTAATCCCTCGCAACTTTGCGATTCGCTTTTCGCAGACTCGCAGTTTTCCAATAAATATTAATGTAAAATATTTACATTACATTATTTACGCGGTGGCGGATGGTGACCAGCTCTGCCTGGTAGCCTCAGAAAGGGAGGCTGGTGTGCGGGCCAGACCTGAGGCGCAGAGGGAAAGAACTGCTGGTCACGAAGTGCAGCCTACTGCACTACCATGGCCCTGGAAGTGGCTCCGGAGGCGTTTATTGGGTGAACTCGCAGCAGAGCCAGATAAGGAGCGTGAGGGCTAGACTGCGCATGCACGTGTGAACGCTTCTTATATATGCCCAATGGAAGTGGGGTGCTTTCTAAAAGTTGCTGCTCAACTAAAGTGACTGAAGGATTTTGTTTATAAGTTAAAGGAAAAGGTTTTCCCCTGAATACTAAAATAATGTATAAATATTAAAATAAATAAAGCCTCCCTATTTCGCAGATTTTCACTTTTTTGCAGGTGGACCTGGAACGTAACACCTGCAATAAGTGAGGGAACACTGTATATCTTGTTTGCTGTGTCATACTGTGTTTTTGTTTCAACAAAGTAATAATAAAATACATGTTCTTCTAACTCTCACAGGACTCTCCCACCAGTAGAGCAGAAATTAATCGATATTACCAATGAAGTAAACAATCAAAATATTATATTAAGGAATTGTTGCAGGAAATCTGATTTCTGCGACAACTCTTAGGGAGAATGGCAGCACCTGAGGTCACAAAGGTTAAAGAAACCTAAACAGTTTCACTGCCTGATGTCTTCTGGTGTGTTATGACATACAATATTACTACTAGCCAAACAAGATTTGCAGTGACAACATGACACCTGTACAAAGGCATCCAGCGGAGGAATTCAGAAGATACTCAATTGCTGGGTGTGTGACCTTGAGGGCAAGGCACTTTGTTTCTGTTAGCTTACTTCCTGGTAAAACAGGTACACCGGAGCTTATTGTGGTTATTTGAATAAAAAAAATAGCAATAACCCCCTAAAAGAAACAATACTCCCATGCCTCAGGTACAAAGCTACTGAGTCCCAGCATATTGTGTTTCTTGAAGTCAGGCATCAATCCATCTTGTAAGAATGATTTGCTCAAAATTAACTTCAAAACAAAGCTCCACCACTAACCTAGTTCTTGGAAGTGAGGCCGGCTTTTAAGGAATGAAATCACTAAGCGCAAGCCAGGAAGGCTTGTTAACCATTTTAATGTTTAACTGATTTCCAACGATTTGCACATTCAATTCTATTTTAATATTTTAGTATTTATATGTTTTAAATTGCATTGGTGTTTTCCCCCCATTGTTGTGAGCTGCTTTGTGTCTAAATGACAAATATAAAAGCGGGATACAAAAAATATATTACAATAATAATAAAACAAAAAGCATAATATTATTAATAATGGATTCAGTGCTGAACCTGAATGCCCAGGTATCAGCAATGGCCGGGAAGGGCATTTACACAGCTAATGCCGGTACCTTGAAAACCCTGATCTGCCCATGGTGGTAAACGCCTTAGTCACATCCAGATTAGACTACTACAATGCGTAATATGTGGGGCTGCCCCAGAAGAGTGTTCGGAAACCTCAACTGGTTCAAAGGTCAGCTGCCAGATTGCTCACAGGAGCTGAATTTAGGGAAAGGACCACCCCTCTCCGAAAACAAATGCACTGCCTATCAGTCTGTTTAGCCTTTAAAGCCCTAAACCAGTGGTTCTCAACCTGTGGGTCCCCAGGTGTTTTGGTCTACAATTCCCAGAAATCCCAGCTGGTTTACCAGCTGTTAGGATTTCTGTGAATTAAAGACCAAAACACCTGGAGACCCACAGGTTGAGAACCACTGCCCTAAACAGTTTGGGCCCAGCCTACTTAGGGTATCGGTTCTCCTTACGGAGAAGCGATACTGTGAACTCTCCGTATGAGTTCACATGAACCTCAAGGTCATCAGGAGAGGCTGCATTCTCAGTCTCACCGTCGGCACAAGTGTACCTGGTGGGAATGAGAAAGAGGGCTTTCCCAGTGGTGGCCCCACGGCTCTGGAACTCCCTTCCTGAAGAAGTTAGAATGGCCCCCTCCCTGCTTTCATTATCGAAGCAAGTTAAAACCTTCCTTTGGAAGCAGGCCTTTTCTCAAAAACTGTAGGTAGTTACCTATGATGTGCAATGTGTGAACCATAGAGCAGGCCTATTGCAATAGCATTGTTTAGGGCCTAAAGGAGTGGATATTACTAAGACTTTTAACCTGAATGTCTAATTTATTTATTTTTTGTGTTGTTTTATGGGCTTTAAGCATGTCGGGGATTTTATAATGTTATAAGTTGCTAATGTTTTTCACATTTTTGGCATATGGTTGTATTTTTATGTTATGTTACTGTTTTCTGATTTTATATGCTGTACGCCGCTTTGAGTCCCATTCTGAGAAAAGGAGTAGGAAATAAATAAATAATACAGTAATAATCATTATAATAACAGCAAAATAAACACCATAGCTTCCCCAATGTTTGAGGTGAGGTATTGATGCATCTTTTCAGAAAGATCTGCTCAAAATAAACCACTCCATTGTGTTGTCAGAGGCTTTCATGGTCAGAATCACTGGATGGTTGTGAGTCTTCTGGGCTGTATGGCCATGTTCCAGAAGCATTCTCTCCTGATGTTTCACCTATATCTGTGGCAGGTATCCCCAGACATTGTGAGGTCTGTTGGAAACTAGGCAAGTGAAGTTTATATATCTGTAGAATGTCCAGGGTGGGAGAAAGAACTCTTGTCTATTTGAGGCAAGTGTCAATATTGCAATTGGCCACCTTGATTAACATTTAACATTTAATGGCCTTGCAGCACCAAAGCCTGTCTGGTTGCTGACAGGGGTGGATCCTTTGTTGGGAGGTGTTAGCTACCCCTGATTGATTCTTGTCTGGAATTCTCCTGTTTTTTTCACTATTGTTCTTTATTTACTGTCCTGATTTTAGAGGGTTTTTTTCAAATACTGTTAGCCAGATTTTGTTCATTTTCATGTTTTCCCCCTTTCTGTTGTCCACATGCTTGTGGATTTCAGTGCCTCTCTGTAGTCTGACATGGTAGTTGTTAGCATGGTCCAGCATTTCTATGTTCTCAATAATATGCTGTGTCCAGGTTGGTTCATCAAGTGCTCTGCTATGGCTGACTTCTCTGGTTGAATTAGTCCTACAGTGCCTTTCATATTCCTTGATTCGTGTTTGGGCACTGCATTTGGTGGTCCCTAAACCACCTTCATTCTAGTTCTGTTGTTGTTCATTCATTCGGTTGCTTCTGACTCTTCGTGACCTCATGAACCAGCCCACGCCAGAGCTCCCTGTTGGCCATCACCACCCCCAACTCCTTCAAGGTCAATCCAGTCACTTCAAGGATACCATCCATCCATCTTGCCCTTGGTCGGCCCCTCTTCCTTTTTCTTTCCATTTCCCCCAGCATAATTGTCTTCTCTAAGCTTTCCTGTCTTCTCATTATGTGTCCAAAATACATCATCTTTGCCTCTAATATCCAGGAGCAGTCAAACTTTATTTCCTGAAGTATGGCCTGGTTGGATCTTCTCACGGTCCAAGGCACTCTCAGAACCATTCTATTATTATTATTTTATTTATTATTATTATTATTATTATTATTATTATTATTATTATTATTATTAACTTTATTTGTACCCCGCTAGCATCTCCCGAAGGACTCGATACGGCTAACACAGGCCAAGGCCTCAATAAAACAACAGCATAACAAAACACGTAACTTAAAGCAAATCAAACATTAAAACAATAGCAGTAAACAATAAAAACAATACACCATAACACAATAAAACTGTTGAGAGTATGAATAATGAACAAAATCTGGCTACCAGTATTTTTTTWAAAAACTCTAAAATTTGGACATATATAAAGAACAACACTAAAAAACAGGGGAATTCCAGACAGGAAACAATCAGGGCCAGCTAGCACATCTCAGCAAAGGATTCCCCAGGCAGGAAGCAGCCAGGCTTTGRTGCTGCAAGGCCATTAAATGTTAAATGTTAATCAAGGTGGCCAATTGCAATATTGACACTTGCCTCAAATAGACAAGAGTTCTTTGTCCCACCCTGAACATTCCACAGATATATAAACCTCACTTTCCTAGTATCCAACAGACCTCACAACCTCTGGGAATGCCTGCGATAGATGTGGGAGAAATGTCAGGAGAGAATACTTTGGAACATAGCCATATAGTCTGGAAAACTCGAAGGCCTTTGACAACACAACAAACACCACGATTTCTGTAAATATTGGAAGTAAAAGATCAAAGCATCTTTTAAGGAAAAGAATGGCTCAAAATAAATTGTGAACTAGGCTCCTGAGCTTCCCCAGTTCTTGAAGTGAAGGATCAATGCAATTTTTTAGACAAAACATGGCTCGAAATCAACAAACCCCAGAGCTTGAAATGAGGCATCAAAGCATCTTCTAAGGTCAAAACAATTCTTCAAAATCAATTGTAATGGGGGAAGGAGAGACAGCACTGAAAGATACACAGAGGAACAAGTACCACAATGGACTGACCGACGAAAGGATGGTAAGAAGAGGAGTGGCGTGTAAACCACAATGTAAACGTGATTTAAAATCCGAAACAGACGCAGAAAGGGAATACAGGGGATACTCACGGGAAGAGCCTCGTCTCTTCTGCCTAGTAACAGCTTCCACGTAAATCTCCCTCAACAAAGCGATACTAATCCCCATTCGTGAATATTAAGCCGCGTAGAGAGGCTCTTACCAATTCGCCAGGAAGCTGGGAATGAGAGGACTAGCTGCGAGGGGAGCGGTCCCCCTCCCCATGTTGGATCCTGACGGAAACGGGCCGCCGAGGGAGCGGAGCGGGTGTCCTCGCTGCTTCTGTGAGAGACGGGGAGCTGACACATCAACCAAGATGGCCGCCGCTGCCGCCATCCAGAGACGCCTCAGCTGGCAGAGGGGGCGTGGCCAAGGCCGAGAGCGTCCGCAAAGGGGAGGAGCCACCGGGAAGGGGGCGTGGCTTCTCTAATAGCAGTCAACTGGGGTTGATTGAAATCAGAAGCAAAAGCTTCACTCTCCGGTGTCTTCCACACAGCTGAATAAAATCCCACCTATTCTGCTTTGGGCTAGAATATATGACAGTGTGGACTCAGATTATTTATTTATCGTGTCATCAGCAACCACACATTTGTATTACATTTTTAACAAAAACAAACAGACAAAACACAGAATTTGCAAGCTTGGTGGTTGATTAAATGTCCTTTGACCAGTATCTGGCCACTTGGAGTGCCTCTGGTGTTGCCGCAAGGAGGTCCTCCATTGTGCATGTGGCAGGGCTCAGGTTGCATTGCAGCAGGTGGTCAGTGGTTTGCTCTTCTCCACACTCGCATGTCGTGGATTCCACTTTGTGGCTCCATTTCTTAAGATTGGCTCTGCATCTCGTGGTGCCAGAGCGCAGTCTGTTCAGCGCCTTCCAAGTCGCCCAGTCTTCTGTGTGCCCAGAGGGGAGTCTCTCATCTGGTATCACCCATGGATTGAGGTGCTGGGTTTGGGCCTGCCACTTTTGGACTCTCGCTTGCTGGGGTGTTCCAGCAAGTGTCTCTGTAGATCTAAGAAAACTATGTCTTGATTTAAGTCGTTGACGTGCTGGCTGATACCCAAACAAGGGATGAGCTGGAGATGTCACTGCCTTGGTCCTTTCACTATTGGCTGCTACTTCCCGGCGGATGTCAGGTGGTGCAATACCGGCTAAGCAGTGTAATTTCTCCAGTGGTGTAGGATGCAGACACCCTGTGATAATGCGGCATGTCTCATTCAGAGCCACATCCACTGTTTTAGTGTGGTGAGATGTGTTCCACACTGGGCATGCATACTCAGCAGCAGAGTAGCATAGCGCAAGGGCAGATGTCTTCACTGTGTCTGGTTGTGATCCCCAGGTTGTGCCAGTCAGCTTTCATATGATATTTTTTCTAGCACCCACTTTTTGCTTGATGTTCAGGCAGTGCTTCTTGTAGGTCAGAGCACGGTCCAGAATGACTCCCAGGTATTTAGATGTGCTGCAATGCTCCAGTGGGATTCCTTCCCAGGTAATCCTCAGAGCTCAGGATGCTTGTCTGTTCTTAAGGTGAAAGGCACATGTCTGTGTTTTAGATGGATTAGGGATCAGTTGGTTTTCCCTGTAATAGGCAGGAAGAGCACCTAGAGCTTTGGAGAGCTTCTGTTCAACCATCTCAAAGCTGGTCATTTACACAAATGACCAGCCACTGCCAGAAGGGACAGAGAGCTTCATCTATGCAGATGATCGTGCCATTACCGCTCAAGCAGGGAGCTTTGAGATGGTTGAACTCAGATAACCCAGTTCAAAGCTGATATTGTGGGATTTTCTGCCATGATATTCTGGGGCCCCTTCCACACAGCTGAATAAAATCTTATTTATTTATTTAGTACATTTCTATACCGCCCCTCTCAGCCTTCCGGCGACTCGAGGCGGTTTACAAGGCAAAAATTCAATGCCACCAAGGACACAAATACAATATACAATATAAAAACAAAAGCAACAATAAAATCAAACATTATGATGAAACATACTTCAATCGATAATCATTAAAACAATGTCCAGTTCCGCCATATAGTTATTCCGTTATTATATCCATTACTCTGTTATTACATCCATTATTATTATACCCATTACTCAGCCAGCACGTCAACAACTTAAATCTAGAAATAGTTTTCTTAGATCTACAGAGACACTCGCTGGAACACCTCAGCAAGCGAGAGTCCAAAAGTGGCAGGCTCAAACCCAGAACCTCAACCAATGGCTGATACCAAATGAGACCTCCTGGCACACAGAAGACTGGGCGACTTGGAAGGCGCTGAACAGACTGCACTCTGGCACCACGAGATGCTGAGCCAACCTCAAGAAATGGGGCCACAAAGTGGAATCCACGACATGCGAGTGTGGAGAAGAGCAAACCACTGACCACCTGCGGCAATGCAACCTGAGCCCTGCCACATGCACAATGGAGGACCTTCTTGCAGCAACACCAGAAGCACTCCAAGTGGCCAGATACTGGTCAAAGGACATTTAATCAATTACCAAACTCACAAATTTTGTATTTTGTCTGTTTGTTTGCTTTGTTCTGTTAGAAATGTAATATAATTTGACTGGTTGTCCTGACACGACAAATAAATACTCCATATTTTCAAATGCCCGTTCAAATAGCCATGTCTTAAGATTCTTCCAGAATGATAGGAGCAAGGAAGTTGATCTAATCTCCCTAGGAAGGGCATCCATAGCTGAGGGGCCACCACTGAAAAAGCCCTGTCTCTCGTTCCCTGCCAACCGTACTTGTGATAATGGCGGGACTGAGAGCAGGACCTCTCCAGATGATCTTAAAGACCTCGCAGGTTCATAAGGGGAGATTCTTTCGGTCAGGTACGTTTTCTGCTTTGAAGTGGAATATATGGCAGTATAGGCTCAGATAACCCAGTTCAAAGAAGATATTGTGGGATTTTCTGCCTTGATATTCTGGGTTATATGGCTATCTGGAAAGATACTGGGCCACATGGCAGTGTGACTCAGGGCCTTTCCACACTGCCATATAATCCAGAATATTAAGGCAGAATAACCCACAATATCTGTTTTGAACTTGGTTATTTGAGTCCACGCTGTCATATATTCCAGTTCAAAGCAGATAATGTGGGATTTTATACAGCTGTGTGTAAGGGTCTTCAGATAACCCAGGGCGCTTCCACACTGCCCTTTATCCCAGAACAGGGTCCTACGGCCCGAGGGCCGGATACGGCCCTCCAATGTAATTTACCCAGCCCTCACTCAGGGTCAACCTAAGTCTGAAACTACTTGAAAGCACACAACAACAACAGTCCTATCTCATCAGCCAAAAGCAAGCCCACACTTGAAATACTAATAAGTTTATATTTGTTAACATTGTTCTTCATTTTAATTATTGTATTGTTTTTAAGTGTTTTTTCCCACTACAAATAAGATATGTGCAGTGTGCATAGGAATTAATTCTCTCTTTTTTTCAAATTATAATCTAGCCCTTCAACAGTTTTAGGGACTGTTACTTGGCCCTCTGTTTAAAAAGTTTGAGGACTCCTGTCCCAGAATATCAAGGCAGAAAATCCCACAATATTTATTTATTTACGGTTTATAGCCCGCCTTTATTTACAGTATTTATAGCTCGCCTTTATTTACAATATTTATAGCTCGCCTTTCTCAGCCATACGGCGACTCAAGGCGGGTTACAGATTGGCAAAATTTGATATCAGGCATTCATAAAAGTGCCATTAAAAACATTATTACAATATAAAACATAAATAAAAACCATTAATAATAATAATAAATAATAAACTTTATTTATACCCTGCCACCATCTCCCCGAAGGGGACTCGAGGCGACTTACATGAGGCCAAGAGCAGTAGTGCATTACAACAAAATAAAACCAAAAACACAAAACGAACATCGCAACAAAGCAAAACATCAGAATACAATAAAACAGTGCAAAAATACAATAAGAATGAGCAGGCCACATGAACAAGATAAAATGATTAAAAACTCAGGATGAGCCAGGTCTTTACTTTTTTGGGGGAAAGTCAGGAGGGAGGGGGCCGATCTAATATCCCTGGGGAGGGAATTCCATAGCTGAGGGGGGGCACCACTGAGAAGGCCCTGTCCTTCGTCTCTGCCAATCACACTTGCGAGGCAGGCTGGATCCAGAGTGGGGCCTCAAGCTGCTTTGAACTGAGTTATCCGAGTCCATACTCAGATAATGTGGGATTTTCTGCCTTGATATTCTGGGATATAGGGCTGTGTGGAAGGGCCCTTGGTTGGATGAATATGTAAGATTAAGGTCCATCGCTGTGCTGTCATGCTAAACTGTGTTTAATGATCAAATATGACCAATAAACAACTGTGTAGATGGGGTTTTTGTCAAAAAAAGAGTACTGGTCAATTGAAATCAAATAATTTTGTGCACTAAAGAATCCTTTTCTTGTAATTTTCTTGTAATTTTCCTGTTTGTCTCCATAATTTGCAAACATGACATGTTTTTTAATAGAACTCATCTAATTCTTAAATTGCAATGGGGTGTCAACATTTACATTTACCATAATCTTTTTAGGGGGCATCTGGGTTTTATCACATATTTGAATTAAGCATTAAAATGTAGTTTTGCTGCTTCAATGAGGAAGTTTGCCTTTAATCTCCCCAGCCTTCCAGGGGCCCTTTCACACAGTCCTATATCCCAGAATATCACGGCAGAAAATTCTACAATATCTGCTTTGAACTAGGGGCCCTTCCACCCAGCCATATAACCCAGAATACCAAGGCAGAAAATCCCATAATATCTGCATTGATTACATTTGAATATATGGCAATGTGAACTCAGATAACTCACTTCAAAACAGATATTGTGGAATTCTCTGCCTTGATATTCTGGGTTATATGGCTGTGTGAAAGGGCCCTGGGTTATCTGAGTCCACATTCAGATAATGTGGGATTTTCTGCCTTGATATTCTGGGATATAGGGCTGTGTGGAATAGCCCCAAGAGTGTGGAGAAGAACAAACCATAGACTACTTACTACAATGTATAATGGAGAACCTTCTTATAGCGACACCAGTGGTCAGTTTCTGTTCAAAGGAAATTTAGTACAATGCCAAGTTTTTAACTTTGCTTGTGGCTTTTTTTTTTAATGCATTATAACTGTATTCTCAATAAGCTCAATTCTGACACAATAAATAAATACTGCCTGAGGAAGAAGGAACAGGCCAGGGCCGTCTTGGGGAAGGAGTGGGAGCATCCTGAGATATTATTTATGTAGAATTTCTAATGGCAGCTCATTGGAAACCTTTGCATTTCTCCATGTTCGAACAACTTTGGCAAACTCTAGAATTTTTTTCTTGCCTTTGTAAGGAGGAGCATTTCCCATATTCTCTTCAGTAGATATAAAATATAATATTGGTATGACTTTCCCTGGCATTAGTCCATGTTGTTATTTATTACCCAGTGCTGGTCAAAATCCATTCCTTGCAGCTAAGCAGTACAAGGGAGTGAACTTCACCTTGGAGATCACACGTATAGGAATCCTGAACAAAGGGCAAGTCAGATTACAGGATGGGGAATTCTTATTAGAAAACTGGTAGAGAGAGACAGCCTGCATTTTTACTCCACTTACTTGAGAGTAAACCCAGCTGAACACAAGAAGACGTACCTCTGAATAGGCAGAGGGCCATAAAAAGAGTGAAGTGAGTGAATAATAATTACTGGAATTAATGCAGTCTAAACATGCATCCACACACTGTAGAATTAATGTAGTTTGGAAACACTTTAACCACCATGGCTCAATGCTATGGAATCCTGGGACTGTAGTTTTACAAGTTTTTTAGCCTTTTCTGTCAAAGAGTACTGGTGTCTCACAAGATTACAACTCCCATGATTCCACACCATCGCACTCTGGCAATTAAAGTAGTGGGTTGTTGTAGGTTTTTTCGGGCTATATGGCCATGTTCTAGAGGCATTCTCTCCTGACGTTTCACCTGCATCTATGGCAAGCATCCTCGGAGGGAGTGAGGTCTGTTGGAACTAGGAAAATTGGGTTTATATATCTGTGGAATGACCAAGGTGGGACAAAGAACTCTTGTCTGCTGGAGCTAGGTGTGAATGTTTCAACTGACCACCTTGATTAGCATTTGATGGCCCGGCAGTGCATGGGGCAATCTTTTGTTGAGAGGTGATTAACTGTCCCTGATTGTTTCCTCTCTGTTGTTTTGCTGTTGTAATTTTAGAGTTTTTTTTAATACTGGTAGCCAGATTTTGTTCATTTTCATGGTTTCCTCTTTCTGTTGAAATTGTCCACATGCTTATGGCTTTTAATGGCTTCTCTGTGTAGTCTGACATGGTGGTTGTTAGAAAAACAACTGAAGGAGCAAAGGTTGGGAACCACTGCCACCAGTATAATATTTTTTATGATTTGGCAGTATTGTTTGTCTGTTGCAACTATTTAATAAATGGGGGGGGGGGGGGTCAAACCCAGAAACATTCAGACAAAACAGAAAAATATATTGTAGGATATTTTATTTTAAAATGATTGATTTCCTTTAGAATAAAACATTTATTTGTTGCCAAATGTAATTTTAAGTAATATTTTGCATCCAGGTTGGTTCATCAAGTGCTTTGCTATAGCTGACTTCTCTGGTTGAATTATCTGCAGTGATTCCAGCCATAGAAGCATTCAACAACATATGGAAAATGATGTTTTATCTCCTCTATATCCTTGGATGCTCAAAACAACTTGGATGCTGAATTCCAGGCATGGGCAAACTACATTGTCATATGGGAGTACATTATATAGCAGGTCTGGCAAACTTGGGCCCTCTAGGTGTTTTGGACTTCAACTCCCACAATTCCTAACAGGAATTGTGGGAGTTGAAGTCCAAAGCATCTGGATGGCCCAAGTTTGCCCATGACTGCTCTTGTTGTTGTTCATTCGTTCAGTCACTTCCGACTCTTCGTGACCTCATGAAGCCCACGCCAGAGCTCCCTGTCGGCCGTCACCACCCCCAGCTCCTTCAAGGTCAAGCCAGTCACTTCAATGATGCCATGCATCCATCTTATCCTTGGTTGGCCCCTCTTCCTTTTTCCTTCCATTTCCTCCAGCATAATTGTCTTCTTTAAGCTTTCCTGTCTTCTCATGATGTGGCCAAAATACTTCATCTTGGCCTCTAATATCCTTCCCTCCAATGAGCAGTCGGGCTTTATTTCCTGAAGTATGGACTGGTTGGATCTTCTCGTGGTCCAAGGAACCCTCAGAACCTTCCTCCAATACCACAATTCAAAAGCACCTATCTTCCCTTGCTCAGCCTTCCCTATGGTCTAGCTCTCACATCCATAGGTGACTACGGGCAGGGGCGGCTCAACCCATTACGCAAAGTAAGCATTTGCAGTATAGTTGATTTTGCCCAGGGGTGCTCTTGAGGCACTCTTGGGGGAAAATAGACCTTGACATATGCGAGTTGTGGTTACTGGGATGTACCTACAATCAAAGAGCATTCTGAACTCCACCAATGATGGAATTGAACCAAATATGGCACACAGAACTCCCACGACGAACAGAAAATATATATCAGTGATTGGTTTTGGGAGAGGGCGCCAAAATACTGTTTGCTTACCATTGAAAATTACCTAGGGCTGCCTCTGACTACAGGGAATACCACTGCTTTGACTATGCGGATCTTCGTTGCCAGTGTGATGTCTCTACTCTTCACTATTCTAGATCTAGGGAAGTAATGCCATCCCTCTATTCTGCTTTGGTTAGACCACACCTGGAATATTGTGTCCAATTCTGGGCACCACAATTCAAGAGAGATATTGACAAGCTGGAATGTGTCCAGAGGAGGGTGACTAAAATGATTAAGGGTTCTGGAGAACAAGCCCTATGAGGAGCGGCTTAAGGAGCTGGGCATGTTTAGCCTGAAGAAGAGAAGGCTGAGAGGAGATATGATAGCCATGTATAAATATGTGAGAGGAAGCCACAGGGAGGAGGGAGCAAGCTTGTTTTCTGCTTCCCTGGAGACTAGGACGCAACAATGGCTTCAAACTACAAGAAAGGAGATTCCATCTGAACATGAGGAAGAACTTCCTGACTGTGAGAGCCGTTCAGCAGTGGAACTCTCTGCCCCGGAGTATGGTGGAGGCTCCTTCTTTGGAAGCTTTTAAACAGAGGCTGGATGGCCATTTGTCAGGGGTGATTTGAATGCAATATTCCTGCTTCTTGGCAGGGGGTTGGACTGGATGGCCCATGAGGTCTCTTCCAACTCTTTGATTCTATGATTCCATGAGATTGGTCATTGCTCTCCTCCCAAGAAGTAAACATCTTCTGATTTCCTGGCTGCAGTCTGCATCTACAGTAACCTTCGCGCTTAGAAATACAAAGTCTGTCACAGCCTCCACGTTTTCCCTCTCTTTTTTCCAGTTGTCAATAATTCTTGTTGGCATAATCTTTTTTTTTTTTTATGTTTAGCGTCAACCCAGCTTTTGCACTATTTTCTTTCACCTTGATTAGAAGATGATTGTTGGAGTCCCTGTAATAAAGGTAGAAGGCCACTAGAGGCCGCCCAATGCTGTATACATACACATAGGCGGCGGTGCGCATGCGCAAACGAGCTCCCATCGTCTCCACAAGCGCTTTCCCTCGTTCCTTCGCTCACTCTTGAGTCTCGTCACTATAGCCGCTTCTCGGAACGTTCGACCGCGATTGTTGCCCGCGCGCATGCGTACGGGCGGGCACGCGCCTTGAGCCAAGGCCACGAGGCGGTTTCTCGAACGGGGAGGGGGAGTAAGGAGAGGAGGCGGAGCGCGAGCGTCGGCCGTTAAGTTCGCGTTCCGGCCGTGATTGTGAGGGAGCGTCGACGCCGGCTGTCCGGAGGTCTCTCCTAGTGAGTCTGTTGGGATTCTGGCGAGGCCATAAGTCCCAGTGTGGGGTTTCTTCGACGTAAGGGGACCTCAGGCCTCGTCCGTCGGAAGGGTCTCTGCAGGAGTCTGGTAAATCTCGGCATAGGTACATACAAATGCTCTTCCCCCATTTTATTAGCTGCGCTTCCGTCTTTTGGGCTCTGGAGAAGCAAGAAATTCCGAGCCTCCCCCCTTCTTTTTCCAGGAAAAGGGGTTTTTTTTAAATGGGAAACGCTTCTCGGAAGGCCCTATCCCTGCCCCACCAACTGGGAGTGTCTGTGAAGTAGGTCCCATCCAACTGACCGTTTGATACTGTTCGAAGCTAGCTTCAAACTGCGCCAGTCATAAAACAAACTATGCACCAGTGGTTTGTAGGCCCTTCCACACAACCAGAATGACTAAACCGAGGCTCCCTTCCACACAGCTGAATAATATCTGACATTATTTGAATTGAATTGGAATATATGGCAGTGTAGACTCAGGGCCCATCCACACAGTCCTATATCCCATAATATCAAGGCAGAAAACCCTTCAATATCTGCTTTGAACTGGGTTATCTGAGCTCACACTTTCATATATCTGCCGTGATATTCTGGGATATAGGGCTGTGTGGAAGGGCCCATACATAACTTAGGGCCCTTCCACACAGCCATATAACCAAGAATATCAAGGCAGGAAATCCTGCAATATCTGCTTTGAACTGGGTTATCTGAGGGCCCTTCCACACACGTCTATATCCCAGAATATCAAGGCAGGAAATCTTGCAATATCTGCTTTGAACTGGGTTATCTCAGGGCCCTTCCACACAGCTCTATATCCCAGAATATCAAGGCAGAAAATCCTGCAATATCTGCTTTGAACTGGGTTATCTGAGTCCACACTTCCACACAGTCCTATATCCCAGAATATCAAGGCAGAAAATCCTGCAATATCTGCTTTGAACTGGGTTATCTCAGGGCCCTTCCACACAGCTCTATATCCCAGAATATCAAGGCAGAAAACCCTGCAATATCTGCTTTGAACTGGGTTATCTCAGGGCCCTTCCACACAGTTCTCTATCCCAGAATATCAAGGCAGAAAATCTTGCAATATCTGCTTTGAACTGGGTTATCTGAGGGCCCTTCCACACAGTTCTATATCCCAGAACATCAAGGCAGAAAATCCTGCAATATCTTCTTTGAACTGGGTTATCTCAGGGCCTTTCCACACAGCTCTATATCCCAGAATATCAAGGCAGAAAACCCTGCAATATCTGCTTTGAACTGGGTTATCTCAGGGCCCTTCCACACAGTTCTCTATCCCAGAATATCAAGGCAGAAAATCTTGCAATATCTGCTTTGAACTGGGTTATCTGGGGGCCCTTCCACACAGTTCTCTATCCCATAATATCAAGGCAGAAAATCTTGCAATATCTGCTTTGAACTGGGTTATCTGAGGGCCCTCCCACATAGCTCTGTATCCCAGAATATCAAGGCAAAAAACCCTCACAATATCTGCTTTGAACTGGGTTATCTGAATCCGCACTCAGATTTCCTTCCTTGAGATTTCTGGGATATAAGGCGGTGTGGAAGGCCGCCCAGAATATCGAGGCAGAAAATCCCACAATATCGGAGTGTGGACTCAATAATGCATTTCAAAGCAAATATTGTGGAATTTTCTGCCTTGATATTCAGGGATATAGGCCCTAAGAGCCCTCCTACTCAGCCACATTACCCAGAATATCAAGGCAGACAATCCCACAATATCTTCTTTGAACTGGGATATCTGAGACAACACTGCCATATATTCCAGTTCAACGGGAAGGGCCTCAGATGACCCAGGTCAAATCAGATATTGTGGGAGTTTCTGCCTTGATATTCTGGGTGATAGGGCTGTATGGAAGGGCCCAGAGACAGCTGTACTTTGACCACGGGTCCTTCCACACAGCCCTATCACCAAGAACATCAAGGTGGAATAACCCACAATATTTTCATTGAGCCGGAATATCTGAGTCCACACTTCCATGTATCCCAGTTCAAAATAAGATAATGTGGGAGTTTATTTAGCTGTGTGGAAGGGGCCATAGCCCACACTGCCATATATTGCAGTTCAATGTGGATTTTCTACAGCTGTGTGTTACCACCTTCCAGGCTTCAAACTTGATTCAGGTTTTCCTGTGTCCTCTTCGCGATTAAACCACTTTCTTCCATTTCAGTTGGAAATGGCATTAATGGCTCCTTGGCCCAAAGTGTAACTTGGCAGAGCTCTTTTACCTGGGATGCTGTGAATTTTCTGGGCTGGATGACCATTAGGGTTGTGCAAAAAGGAAGCAATTTTGCTGTTACCTTCATCAGGATCCCAACAGAAAACATAATTCCCAATGTCGGATCAGGGATTTACCTTACTCTAGAGCTGCTCGGCTGGAGGCACATTCACTTTCTAGGCCTGCATGCTACATACTCCCCTTGGAAAGAGAGAGTGTGTGTGTGGCGCGCAGGCCCAGATAGTGTGTGCACCTGCCAGTGCCTGCAGCCAAGCACCTCCTCTAGAGTAAGAAATTCTTACTTTAGAGGAGACGCTTGGCTGCAGGCACTGGCAGGTGCACGTGCTTTCTGGGTCCGCCACATGCACACTCTTTACAAGGAGAGTGAGTGTGGTGTGTAGGCCCAGAAAGCACGTGCGCCTGCAACCAAGCGTCTCCTCTAGATCAAGATAAATCCCTGATCCGACATTGGCAATGATGTTTTCTACTGGAATCTTGGTCATGGTAACTGCAGAATTGCTTTCTTTTGCTAATATGGCTACTTGGTCTTGGAGTTGTCTGTTTTGTCAGGTTCATGATGATCCGTGATGTATCTAGTTCTGTTTTCATTGTTGCTTTTGGCATTTGTAGAATTTTTGTTTTTATCTTTTGGTGTGGAGAGTCATGTCTTTCTCCATTTTTCTTTTAGATTCTGTTCAGATTCTGTGCTTTCATGTCTGTCTATATGTTTATCATGCCAGAAGCAAATTGAGGATACAGTTATAATATATAAAAAAACACAAAAAGTTTAAAAACCAGAGTTTTTTTATCCTTTCCCTCATACATGTTACGTAGCAACAGCCTATCCTGTTTTTTAGATTTTGAAAAAAAAATGGGTTTGTTTTGGAAACAACAATTAGGTACTGTTCCATTATCTGGGTAGAGGCCACTGGGGGTGCTAGAGAGAGAAGGATAATCCATTTTATGGGGTGGAGGGGTGTTTGAAGGAGTAAAATCTTTTCCACCAGTTTTCCAGTTATTCCCCCCATCTATGTGCCCATTGTGGAAACAACCCTCATATATCCCGCACCGGGATTGTGGCGCAGCTGGCTGAGTGTCAGCTGCATTAAGATCATTCTGACCAAAAGGTCATGAGTTAGAAGCCAGCCCGGGCTGGAGTGGGTGTCCAGCCATTGTGTAGCCTGTTGTCGACCTTTGCAACCCGAAAGACAGTTGCATCTGTCAAGTAGGAAAATAAGGTACCACCTTGTGTGGGAGGCTAAATTAACTAATTTATGAGACCATAAAGAAAACTCCGGGATGTGGAATGCGGAAGAACTCATCGGTGTCGCTGATGGACGATGAAAGCAGCAGCTCCCCTGGCGGCCAGAAAAAAGTTAAATAGCCTCTGTGTATTGTCTGTATTTGTTGTCTGTCAAACTGGCATTGAATGTTTGCCATATATGTGTATACTGTAATCCGCCCTGAGTCCCCTGCGGGGTGAGAAGGGCGGAATATAAAAACTTTAAATAATAATATAAATAAATAAATAAATAAATAAATAAATAAGACATGGGAAGGGGGGGGAGGAAGAACCAGTGAAAACAGAGAAAATGGTTTTCCTCCTTCCATTCACCCCTCCCTAAAATGGTCTATCCTTCTCTCTAGCGCCCCCTAGTGGCTCTGCTGAATAATGGAAAAGTACCAGGGAGTGTTGATAAAGCTTCAGCGGAGACACCTTTTCTTCATGATAATTCCTCCAGGAGTGGATTTCCCTTCCTAGGGGTAGATTTCTCTCACTTCCTGTTGTCTGTCGTTTGTAAGTTGGATGTTTGTAACTTTAGAGCTTTGATCTGATGATGTTTCTGGTGCTTTTGATCAGGTCATGGGTAATTGCACCTGTGTTACAAACAGCCTCCATATCCACAGGTTCTGTAGCCACAGATTCATCCAAGTATAGCACAAACATATTTGGTGGGGTGGGATCTGTAAAGTACTCTCTCAGGTAAAAAAAAGGGTATTTTAAATTTATGATTATTCCACTTTTGCAGAGGTGACCTTAACAGCAAGGAAAGTAAAGGTTTGACATATTCTAGTTCCTTGTTTTAAATAAAGCTAGTGAGAATTGCAGGTATCAATTATTTATAAAATGACAAGCACCAAAGTGTTTAAACTTAATCTACAGAATATGTTTTTTAAAAATTCCATTACTTTATTAAAATATATATTTTATTAATACACAACACAGGAAATTGACTATAGGATAATTTGTTTATGGAGTCTTTGTTCAAAACACCTGTTGAGACTCAGCGTCTGTCTCATGCACCTACTACTTTAACTCCTACAGTGCTGTTTGTGTTGCTGACTGGTCTGGGTCTTGACAACACCTAAACTACATTAATACCTTGACTTTAATTTGTTCTGTGACTGAGCTCTTAACTCAAAACTCTATCTCAAAGCAGATTTTTCCCATTGAAATGAATTGAAATTTTATTAATCCGTTCAGGCCCCCCAAACACCTCCCCCCCATTTTTTGTTGTGTTTTTAAATAACAAAATATACTTAATAAAAAATGATGTATACATGCACATTCACATGGAACAATAACAAAGAAAGATCAACTTTATAACAGTAGAAGCACAAATTTGTGGCAAGGAAGCACATTTGAGGCAACAAAATGTGTGTTAGTGTAACAGCAAGGCAAAACCAGCACATTCACATGGAACAATAAAAAAAAAGCTTTAAAATGGTAGAATCACAAAGTTGTGGCACAATGGTAGAAGCACAAAATTATGGCAAGGAAGCACAAAGTGAATAGTCAGAAGCATTTTCTTCATAAACTACTGTGTTTTGTTTTGTTTTTCCTGGCACTGAATGTTTGTCCATTGTTGTTGAGTCCCTTCTTGGGAGATAGGGCAGGATAGAAATAAAGTTTTATGATGATTATGATTTTACTCATTCCAGCTTCCCCGCCTCTCTTGCTCTCTCTCTTCATGAAGCCAAACATACCAGGAATAAAAGCCACACGAAGTCAAATAACCCAAAGTTCTTCAAAGCAGACGAACAAAGCAGGCAGCAGTCTCCCAGAGCACTGAGGTACAAGCCATGGAGGTTGCTCCCTTAAAGCCCAAAAGCCCTATACTCTGACTCTGGTGCTAGCTCTTAACTCTAAATGCTGCTCTTATTTCAAAGCAAAATCAGGGCTGAGCAATACCTCTTAACTCGAAACACACTTCAGTTGGCATGCTCTTAAGTAGAAGTTCCATTGTATTTTGAAAACACTTTTGCAAACCTTATTGAAGGAAGAATTCTAATACTTCATAAATGTGTGAAAAAATGCTATTCGGGACACCATAAATTATAGTGGAAATGCTGAAACTATAAGTAGACTAATCACTACGGCTGCATTATGTAAAATGATTAATTTTTAAGATTTGGTTGTTCTTATAGTCACAGTAACCTTTTTTTAACCTTTATTTTATCTAATTTTCTTAGTTGCTAAACCACATCCTTAAAGATATCAGGAATTTATGTCAATATGGATACATGCAAGATGCCACAGAGGGTTCATTTAAGGAATCCAAATGAATCCCTGAGAATTCCACGCACGGTTCCCAATGGCAAGGGTTTTTTACTTGAAGATAAAACATCAGCATTAGTCAAGAATTTTTCAATTTGTGACCAGCTTAAATTGTTTGTTGCTGATAATAATAATAGTAACGACATTGAAAATAGCCATGATGGCTCTCAAAATGTGTCTCACAAACGAATAACTGGATCAGATCTAAATGGAGGAGAACTGAAAGGTGAGAAGACGAATCCTTTTATTTCATTTATATCCTATCTTTCTCGCCACATAGGACCCTGGCTGGCTAACTTTATAAAGTGTTTTTTTTCTCAGAATACTTCTGACATTCTTGAATCCTGTATATTTTTAAACCTGTTTTATGCAATCAGAGTATTGTAAATTTATATAACAACTAATCAGCCTACAGGTGGATATTTGCAATGTTTTCCTTTGATAAAACTTTGGAGAATTTTATTTGTGATTTTTAATTTTTTTTCTATCATAAGATCTTTCCCCAGTAAATCCTCAGTTATCTGATAATCCATTTGTTGCTCAGCCAACCTATAGCATTGAAATCAAGTAATATGGAAAATAGGTTCAATTTGATTAGGAAGCCAATTCCTAAGATGTCATGGAGGTATTTTTCCCCTTTAATATCAAATCTCTACAAGTGTATAAAATGAGTACTTTATTTAACAATAATCTTGGATATATAGGCAGTCACTGTGTTACGAACAAGGGATAGATTCTGTATGTTTGTTTTTATGTTGGATTTGTATGTAAATTAAAACAAGTGCATTTGTAGTGTAACTCTAGCCAAGGTATTTGGTTTTTTGTTTGTTCGTTTAGTTTTGGATGGCATGGGGGATGGTTAACATCCCTGGAACGTTTGTTTTGCGGACTGTTCCTCTTTCAGAAGATTTCACCTCATTATCTGTTCCTTGTGACAATTGGATTTTGAAAATTTGCAGTTGCCATGAAACAAGGATTGGTGATAAAGCTTCAGAGGATACACCTTTTCCCATGGTAATACAGGAGTGAATTTTCCTTCCTAGGGGTAGATTTCTTCTTACTTCCTGTTGCCTCTGGGGCAGAAAGTAAGATTAAATCTTTTTAATGAGGATAGAGACAACAGTAAAAACCTCAGAGTTACTCTAACCCCACACCATACTAAACAAAACTAGAAAGAATTGGCATGGATTTCTACTGTAAATGCAATTTGGACAGATGTTTGTCTTTTAGCATACTATTTTTTTTTCCTGTGCATGTAAATACTTAAAACATTTTCAAATACTGTACGGTACAGCAGTAAACAATCTTGCTAGAGGATGATGGACTTGTTGGAGGGAGTGGGATTGGTATTAAAAGGGTCTGAGTCTGATTCTACTGCTGCTGTCTGTTTCTTGAAGTAGGTTTCAAGGGAGGTTTGAACAGAGCTTTTCTTTTTCTCATAAATATCCCTGTAGCACAGGGGTCCTCAAACTTTTTAAACAGAGGGCCAAGTCACAGTCCCTCAAACTGTTGGGAGGGCCGGATTATAATTTGAAAAAAATGAATTAATTCCTATGCACACTGCACATATCTTATTTTTAGTGCAAAGATCAATTTTAACAAATATAAATTTATTCGTATTTCAATGAGAAGTGTGGGCCTGTTTTTGGCTGATAAGATTGTTGTTGTTGTTGTGTGCTTTCAAGTTGTTTCAAACTTAGGTTGACCCTGAGTGAGGGCCGGGCAAATGACCTTGGAGGGCCGCATTTGGCCCCCGGGCCTTAGTTTGAGGACCTCTGCTGTAGCACCTCAAGTCAGGTCTTCACCAACTGTATGGTAAACTTTGGTGAACCTCTGTATGTTCCTCTAACTTTGCAATTCCTGCTTCAATAAGACAAAAAGCATCAGCTAACTCTTTTGTAGAAAACTTTTTCAGTTATGGGTTTCTAGGTCCTGGTTTCCCTAGATGCTATCTTCTGCTCTGGTTCCATATCTTCGTTAGTTATTTGCTGTGGGAGTAGAGTAACTCTATAATATCATTTTCACTGATGTCTAACTGCAGTTCATTACCAATAGCAACCACAGCTGGCCTGGTTTCGATCATTACATAATTTGTAAACCCCAGAAATTCTTGTGTGAACTGGTGGCACAGTTTCTTCCAAACTCATGTTTGTCTCTTTCACTTCGTTCCAAGCATCAGCAGCATCTATAATGCCATTATTAATGTAATAATTTTTCCAGAATTCCCTTAAGATCATCTTGTCCTTTTGCGTAGCCCTGATAGTTTATGAGAATGTCCTCCATAAATAATAGGCCTTAAAGGATGCTATAACTGCCTGATCCAGCTGAAGTACTGATGAGATGTTGAGAAATAGGAATACCACCTTTACATTAGGCTGCATGACATCTAAAGTGGTATTGTTAAGGGCCATTCTTGAACAACCGCAACTGTAACCCAAGCCTTTGAATTAGTCCTCCAAATAACAGGAAGTGATTTTATGTGGTATCCTCGGATTTAGGGAATGATGCACTAGCAAAAGCTTGAGCTTTAAATCCCCAGATTCATTGCTCCTAATAATATAGTCAGCCTGTGCTTTCATGCCTTATGCCCTGGTGCATATTTTCCTCTTTCGAAATATAGGTCCTTTCAGGCATATTTTTCTTCAAACAAGTCAGTTTCATCTACATTAAATATTTGGTTTAGCAAATAGCCTCTATCATTAATCACATCTTTCAGTATCTTGGGAAGTCACTTGCAGCACTTCATTCACACTCTCGGCTTCAAGTTGAATTTTAATATGCTAATTTGTTATTTAAAGTGATTGAACCAAGCCCTACTTGCAACAAATTCTTCATTGCAATAGCATTCATTAGTTCTATTATGCTACTTTTATCTTTTAAAATTGTTATGATTGTTAACCAACTGTTACCTAATTCTCTGCCAATGGATGAAGGAGTTTCACATCTCTGGTCTCCCTATTATTTCTACTTTATTTTCCATGATGGTTTTTCTTTTTTGTTGCTGTTGTAGTACAACCAGCACTTTCATCAGATGTGTGTTTCGGAGGCATTGTTGCAGGATAAAGGCAGCAAGTGCAGTAGTGTTCCAACAACTGGAATGCTGTGCAGTACACCTTGGCTGCAGCCTGAAGCCTCTTGCTGTATAGTACTATAATAGCCTCTGTTCGTAAATACAAGTCATATATTAAGTTGGATGTTCGTAACTCAGAAACTGCCTGTAATTAGTTTTTGGAATGTTGTTACATATAAGAAGCTTTCAGGTTTTGCCATGATAGTCAGACTCGGCCACACTCTGGTTACATCCCGAATAGACTACTGCACCACACTCTACATGGGATTGCCCTTGAAGACTGTTCAGAAGCTTCAAGCGGTGCAGTGGGCGGCGCCAGATTTCTCATCGGAGCAGGGAACACACAATCTCTCCTGTTATGCCAGTTCTACTGGCTGCGAAACACAGTTCAAAGTGTTGGCTTTAGCCTATAAAGCCCTAAATGGTTCTGGCCCAGCTTACCTGTCCAAATGTATCTCCCTCTATGAACCATCTTGGAGATTAAGATAATCTGGGGAGGACCTGCTCTTGGTCCCACATTCTTCGCAGGTGCAATTGGTGGGGATGAGAGACAGGGCCTTCTCAGTGGTGGCCCCTCAGCTATGAAACTTCCTCCCCAGTGAGATCAGATCAGTCCCTCCTCTCTTAACCTTCAGGGGGGAAAAAAATTTAAGATGTGACTTTGGGAGCAAGCTTTTGACAAATAATTGGCGCAAAAAGTGACCATGAGTTAATGTGATTGACGAATGGAACGGCCCTGGATTATGTTTTGGATGGTGTGATTTTAATTGACATTTTAATAATTCATGTCTTAATTGTTTGGTTTTAATTGTAATTGTTTATTTTATGTGTGTATGGCATCAAATTACTGCCTGATGTAAGGCCGCCTTGGGTATCCCTCCGGGGTGAGAAAGACGGGATATAAATATGGCTAATTAAATAAATTGAAATACTCAGTAAAATTCTACCAATTTTAATGGCAGTATAATCTAATGCAGTATAACCTTTGTTTGCTTGGAAGTACAGTAATGCCAGCTGAGGTTAGTAGAATTAGTTCTCACCAATCAAAGTTCACAGCTAATTGAATTAGTTGTTAGAAATTTGTCTTCTTTTTTAAGAATGAAGATCATATCTTAACAATCTCTCTTGTATTTTAGGGGATTTGGCAACCATTAATAATCCCAGTAATTTGTTGCTGACTTCTTTAAAGGAGATACACTCTGTGAGTATTGTAAGTTTCAATATTTCCCTCTTGTTACTTTACCATCTGATCTGCAACATTAATAAAATAGAGATAGAAAATACCACAAAAGACATCCAGTTGAACCACATGCTATGAAGGAATATACAATGAAATCATTCCTGACAGATTGCGATCCTGCCTCTATTTAACAATCCCCAAAGAAGGAGACTTGACCACACTCCAAGGCAATGTATTCCATCATTGAACTGCTCTTTACCATTGTTCCGTGTCCTAGCCTCCAGGGCATTAGAAAAAAAAATTCTCTATCCTAAATATGTTATCTTTTCAAATAATTACATATGGTTGTAATTTTACGTCATCATTTTATCTAGATTAAAAATACCTAGCTCCTTATAGGACGTTGTTTCCAGACCTTTTATCATTTTGTTCACCTTCTAAACCTGTTCCAACTGTCAATACCCTTCTAAAACTGCCGTGCCCATAATTGGACACAGTATTCCAGGTGAGGTCAGATGAAAGCAGAATGGAGCAGGATTATGACTTTCCTTGATCTAGATACTATATTTCTGTTGTCTTCTCCACATTTTACTAACCTTTTGCAAAGTTATTCTTAATGAATATTAATGAATATATCACATCAACCTCATTTCTTTCATATACCAAGTTTGTAACTGTTAAAAAAAGAGAGATAAGATTCGTTTGGCATGATTTGATTTTGGCTGGGTGGTAATAGTTTGGGTCTTCTTTTTTCCGTTTCTGAAGAAAACACATAATTTGTTCCCTTCCAGTCTGCTGAAGTATCTCATGTACTCCAGAAGTTCACATAATAGTATAGCAGGAATTCTGAGATTACTTCTACCAGTTCTTTTAATACTTTGGATGTATAGTAATTCATTGGATTCTGGAGACTTGCATTCATTGAGAGTATCTGGATATTCCCGTGCAACCTCTTCATGTATTCTGTGCTGCATTTCCCTTATTCCAGGGATGGGAAACGTCTGACCCAAGGGCTGTATGTGACCTGTGAGATCATTTGGTCTCGTCCTTGGTCTCCCACCCAAATACTAACCTCTTCTGTGGACTGGGTGCTGCTAACTATTCAGACCCATGAATGATTTATACATGTCTAAATGGCTTTAGGTAGAAAAAGGACCCCACTCCTGCCTTACTTCCTTAATTTACTATTATATTTAACAATCTACTATATATTTACTGTCTTCAACAATAGAATCATAGAGTTAGAAGAGACCTCATGGGCCATCCACTCCAACCCCCTGCCAAGAAGCAGGAAAATCGCATTCAAAGCACCACCAACAGATGGCCATCCAACCTCTGTTTTAAAAAGCCTCCAAGAAGGAGTCTCCACCACACTCCGGGACAGAGAGTTCCACTGCCGAACAGCTCTCACAGTCAGGAAGTTCTTCCTCATGTTCAGATGGAATCTCCTTTCTTGTAGTTTGAAACCATTGTTCCGCGTCCTAGTCTCCAGGGCAGCAGAAAATAAGCTTGCTCCTGTCTTCATCCTTCGCATAACTCAATTTAAAGCCTTGAAGATCAGATTTGTGAAATTTAGCAAAAACATTCCTGTCAGCTGCTAAGAAGTCACTTTCCAGAATATCTTCTGGAGTCCAAGGTCCTAGAAATTATAATAATTATACATTTCTTACCCACCTCTCTTGGCTCAAGACAGGTTACAACACTCAATCAAAACATATAATCATTTAAAAACACTCTAGAATACACATATTAAAACATTTCCATAAAATATGTATCAAAATACTTAAAAGTTAAACAGAATGGAATAATAATAATAATACTATTAATAATACTATAGAAGCCAAATCATTCTCAGCAGCACCATCTACATAGCCACTTCTCCACCTCCACTGTTTTCTCCCTTCTTGGCCTGTGTCCTTCAACTGGGAGCACAGATAAAATGACAACCTGTACTTCAGCTTCTTGCTCAGAACTGTCATCCTTTGTGATAGCCAAAGGCTGTGCGTTGCAGTGTCATTGGTTTCCACATGAAACCAAGATAAGAGTGGTCATACTGGAATTGATGGGTCTTGTCAGCCTCTCATATTACATCATCGGTTCTTGCCCCAGGAAGACAGTATACCTCTCTAAATATCCTGTCACGTCTGCAAATGACTGTTTATGTTCACCTCAGCAGAGAGTCCCCTATCACCACCACACATCTCTGAAAATTAGCAGAGGTCATTTTGTGTGCTGAATATACACATTGTCTGAGAATTGACAGTGAGTCTCTTGATGATCTCTGATAATGGAGAGTTTAAAGTTGGTTCTTTAGTTCTAAATGCACAGAATGATCTGTGGTCCTTCTATTTCTCTATGTTACATCTCTCAAAATCACAGCTTTCTAAACTTGTCACAACACATTACTGAAACAACTTGCAGGATGTTGGTGTTGTGCAAACTAAATGAGAAACCTCAGATTCTGTGTCAAATAAGCAATGAATCATATATTTTTTAAAATACATATGAAAAGTTTTCATGAGGTGTGTTGTGTTCCCACATACAGGCAGTCCCAAAGTTACAAACAATATGGAAGGCCAACTATATAACATATTAACATGTTCATACTACTGATATCTCAGGACCTCAATTACCCTTAAAAATGAGATTTCCCTCTATTTTATGGGGACAGTATTACTGCACCAAGACTGAGGTACATTCAGCAAGGCTCAACAGTAAAGTTGGTCCACAGTGTCCACTGGGTTTTGGTTCCAGGACCCTCTCTCACACATACACACACCCCAGTGATATCAAAATCAGTGGATGCTCAGTCCCATTATACATAATGGCATTTGTGAGGACCGGGACATCCGTAGGGATACCAAGGTGCTTGTTTATAAAGCTATTGTCCTCCCAACCCTGCTATATTCCTGCAAGACGTGGACTGTCTACAGACATCACATGCAACTCCTGGAACGATTCCATCAGAGCTGCCTCCGGAAAATCCTGCAAATCTCTTGGGTAGACAAGCAGACAAATGTCAGTGTGCTGGAAAAAGCAAAGACCACCAGCATGGGAAGCGATGGTACTTCGCCATCAACTCCGCTGGACCGACCACATAGTCCGGATGCCTGACCACCGTCTCCCTAAGCAGTTACTCCGAACTCAAGAATGGAAAACGGAATGTAGGTGGGCAGGAAAAGAGATTTAAAGAGTGGCTCAAAGCCAACCTGAAAAACTGGCATAGATACTGAGAACTGGGAAGCTCTGGCCCTTGAGCGCTCCAGCTGGAGATCAACTGTGACCAGCAGTGCTGTAGAATTTGAAGAGCCACGAATGGAGGGCGAAAGAGAGAAACGTGCCAAGAGGAAGGCGCGTCAAGCCTACCCCAACCGGGACTGCCTTCCACCTGGAAACTAATGCTCTCACTGAGAGAAGATGCAGATCAAGAATAGGGCTCCACGGTCACCTACAGACCCACCGCCAGTACACTGATCCTGGAAGACTATCCTACTCGGCCAACGAGGGATCGCCAAAGTAATGGCATTTGTATAAAATTTAAACAACTCTGGCAATGGTGGGCCTCTTCCTTTTTTTCATTCATTTCCCTCATAAACCTTCTCCTTCTTTCTTTTCCTTCTCTCTTTCCTTCTTCCCTTGCTTTTCCTCACAAACCTTCCCTTTTCTTTCTTTCTCTACTTTCTTCCTGCTTTTCTTTCCCTTCCTGAACAATCTTATTGATGTGGCTGAATAGCAACATGTAGTTTTAAGACAAATACATGTACATTATTCTGAATATTTCTTACAGATATCTAGTTCAACGATGATACCATCAAAGCAAAACACAGTAAAGAGAATCCCTGACAATGCCTTATCTGGAAACCGTGATCTGAAGGTTGATCCCTTATTTGAGCCCAAGTGCCATTTTTGTGGACTATTTGGTAAGCTTTTTTTATTTTATCTGTAATAATAATAACAACAACAAAAAACAACTTTATTTATATTTTGCCCTTTCTCCCCAATACATTCCAAAACTCACCTGGATACTTGAAATCATAACAGCAATAGCAAAACCATAATATTTTGAGTATAGTTAAGATGAAAACCTACCATAGAATCCTATGGGAGGACCTAAAGGGGGCCACATAACTCTTCTGGGTGGGTATTTTCTGGGGGCAGGTAAGTGAAACTGGGATATTGAATGTGAATGAAAGGCCGTGCTGTATAGCTATATGAAGTGCTATATGTCATGCATAATATTTTTGCTGTTGGCTGTTCAAATGGAGCAAACCAGTATTTATGCAAAATATATTTGACAAACATTTGAGTAATGAAATAGCTTGGGATTTTTAATCTGACAAAATTGATCAGAATTTCAAGTGCCCTGAGTGGTTCAGGAGCTGCAGTAAAATAATTTGGGGTAGCCAAATGAGAACCTCATTTTCCTTATAATTGCTGTAGATTAACACTACTTTCCAAATTTGCTTAACCTCTTAGGGTCCTTGCGATGTACACAATGTAAACAGATATATTACTGTTCGGTGGCTTGCCAGAAGAAAGACTGGCAAAAACATAGTGTGGTGTGTAAGCCAGTTCAATTGAAGTAAGTTCATAGATTGAAATACTATTAATTTAAGTAGGATTTCTCAACTAAATTGAATTATATTATCTTTGCTTTCATTGTTGGAATTATAGGAAGTCCCTGAGTTTCAAACATCCAACTTACATCTGACTCTTAGTTACAAAAATTGGAGGTGACTGTGCTAGGTGGGCCCAGACGTGCCAGCCAGCAGCATTTGTTGGACCTTTTGCACTATTTGAAAATGTTGAAGCATTTACACGCATAGCTAAAAAATCAGTAATATGTTAAGACATCAGTCCAAGTTGTCCTGCCTTCTTTTAGTTCCTGGGGGTTTATATGGGAAACACTTTAGTATGGAGTGTGGGACGTAGGTGGGACTGCTGACAAAACACTAATGTAAAGCTTTAGAAGCTTCTGAATGGATTATACTCCACTGTGTAGGTGCAGTATAACTCATTTATATGAGTTCACAGATGACTCCTTAAGGAACTATTACAGTTAAGTGTGTTGTCCTTCACCCAACCACTACTAAAAATAAGTAAGTCAAATAGTTGTTTATTAAAAAAATTATAATGCAGTATTTTTTAAAAAATACAAAAAGCAGTGTGGAATGTTTCCTCCCTTCCCCACATGACTGTTGGCACAGCGACAGAGCCACGATGGAAGCCGATCTGTATTACTTTAACGAGTCACCATGAGCTTATTAACTAGCACTAACTTAAGCATTTTCAAAGTGTGTAAGTGCATATACACTGTGTTTTAATGGATTTTAACTGAATTTATTAAATATTATTTATATTTAATTCTGTTTTAATGTTTGCATATTTGTATATTTTAAATTGAATGCTTATGGGTTGTAGGTTTTTCGGGCTTATGTGGCCATGTTCTAGAAGCATTCTCTCCTGACATTTTGCCTGCATCTAGGGTAAAYGAAAAAGGTATCCTTGCGGAAGAACAAGCAGGGTTTAGACAAAACAGATCTACCATTGATAACTGTTTTATCCTGAATCATTTGATTGCCAAATACRCCTGTAAGGGAAGACACTTGTATGCTGCCTTTATTGACTYCTCTGCAGCATTTGATACTGTTAACAGAGAAGCATTATGGAATAAGTTGTGCAATCTCAAAATTGAACCTAGGCTGCTGCTACTGATAAAAGCCTTATACACAAACATCTGCTTGAGAGTAAGGTTTGGGGTAAATGGAACTATGACAAGCAGGATCAACACATACAAAGGAGTAAGACAAGGGTGTATTTTAGCACCAATATTATTTAATCTTTATATCAATGAYTTAWCTGGAGTAATGAAAGACCCTGTAACTCATATGCCTAAAGCCTGCATCTATGGCAAGCATCCTCAGAGGTTGTGAGGTCTGGTGGAACGTGGACAATTGGGGGTATATATATCTAGGAAAATTGGGTTTATATATAACAGACATATAAACCCAATTTTCCTAGTTCCAACGGACCTCACAACTTCTGAGGATGCTTGCCATAGATGCAGGTGAAACATCAGGGTAGAATGCTTCTAGAACATGGCCATATAGCCCAAAACAACTTACAACAACCCAGTGATTCCATCCATGAAAGCCTTTGACAATACATTGTATACTTATGCTTTTATGTTAATCTGCTTTGACTCTCCTTTGGGAGATATAAAGTGGGGTATTATTATTATAATATATATTTATTATAATAATAATTTAAGTCCCTTGTCACTGAATATCCATTCATATATTGCTAGAACAATTATGCTAATTAATAAAATGCTTTTTAGTACAGATAAAGCTGAAGATAAACCAAAATCATCAAATGAAATAAAAAACAAGGTAGGACTTGAGTAATTTTTGTTTTGTTTTTTGTTTGAGTGATAGGGAAAGCCTTATGTGTTATGTATAGTTAACTGTACAGTTAAATATTTGTATTCCTGAAAGCATGTATAGGAATCTGAATGTTTTTTGCTGGCATTATGAAAACAGGTTATTAAAGGGTCTTACTCTATCCCGCTATTCGGATAAACCAGGTAGCATACACAAAAGTGAGCTACTCTAGAAATGCAAAAACATCTCACCTTTGTCACATGAATGGTTTACTGTGAACTTCTTGTGAAAGTATGTCAGTATTTGGCAAGCTAGATGTTCAGTCTCATGAAAACAGCAGAAATAATATTTTATAGGCCGGGAGAAACATCCCTGAATAATGTAGAATTTACTTTAGGAACATAAAGTATATGAGACAGGCAAAGCGTCATCTTTGAAATATTAAATGTACGGTTTATTTTTAAAAACAACAAATTATGTTTTTAAATTTTTGCTTTGATACAAATTGAGATGTGAGCCAACATAGTATAGTGGTTGGACGGCTCTGGAGACTAGGTTCAAATCCCCATTCAGCCATGAAAATCCACTGGGTGGCCTTGGGCAAGCCTCAAAGGAAGGTAAAGATTTTTTTAAAAAAAACTCCTTTAAACAAATCTTGCCTAGAAACCTCCATGAGAGGGACCTTAGAATCACCACAAGTCATAAAAAAACAACTTGAAAGCACACAAACAAATTGAGGTAAAGACCTCCAATTCAGAGGAGTGCCTTAATTTTAAGGAATCTTTTGGATTCGCTACTTTTAAAATATGTGAATCATCATTACTAAAAGAAAGACAATTACCCGTATATTCCGGCATATAAAATGACTGGGCATATAAGACGACTCTCAACTTTTCCAGTTAAAATATAGAGTTTGGGATATTCTCGTCGTATAAGACTACCCCTCTTCCAACGCACACCAAATAAATTTTTTAAAAGTATCAGGTTTGATTTCAATATGGTAATTTTCCTATTACTGTACCTCCTTCTCTGCCTCTCAGATGTCTTCAGGAGTGAGATCTGAGAGGCAGAGGAGGTACAGTAAAAGGATACAAGGGCGGGCCAGACAAGTAAAAGCGTTGTGTTTTTCTGGGCCCAGGGTCACTCTATCTCTTTTTTCCATACCCCGGAGTGCCCCGGATGCCTGCAGCTTGCTCCACCTTTCACTTACACCTTCCCGGTGAGGTGCCCTTCATCTCATCATCAGGACCGCATTAAGTCCACGAATCCTGATGAATGGATTTTCTTCTACCGTACTTGTACAGCGTCCCCCTTAATGCTTTCATACAGTCGCTGCATATGGCAGGAACGCAGCCACTGCCTTTTTTGAGCTCCCTCCACAATATGCAGCAACCACAGATTTTCCAATCCGGATTGGAAGTTTCAGCACCAGCTCTATAAGACGACTAGCGGCCTATAAGACTACTCGCGCATATAAGACGACTCCCGTGTATAAGACTACTCTCACGCATAAGACGACCCCTGACTTTTGAGCAGTTTTTCTTGGGTTAAAGAGTAGTCTTATACACCAGAATATATGGTATTTTGCATATTTTTCCTTCATAATGATGAACAAACATAATGCATTCATTCCAATATTAAAAAACAGACAAGGAAATAAAAGACGTAAATTACAATGATTTGAAAACTGTATATACTCTTAGCTAGAGATCTATCTGCTACATATTTTAAAATAATAGGGGGAGTAGTAAATATATTATTGTCTCGTCTTAAATATTTTATTCATTCTAAAAAACAAGGCTGTGATCCCCTCCTCTCCCCCCAAGGGAAACCTCAGGAGAAAAAAAACAGCCCCTCCCATTTTCTGGTTTCTTTTATAGTAGTAGTAGTAGTAGTAACAACAACAACTTTTATTTTTATACCCCGCCTCCATCTCTTGAAGGGACTCAGGGCGGCTTACATGGGGCCAGGCCCAATAGTACAGTTAAAACACAACACATTAAAATCACACCAACAAAATAGTAACAGAAACAATGTAACAGAATAAAAAACAACAACATTAAGCAATATATAAAACAAGACATCAGGGCCAACAACCAGTGGTAAAATTCAGTGTCTCATTGTGGGAGGGCGGACTGGTACCACAATAGGGGATAGAGCTAGTGAATAAGGTGCATGTATCATATAGCAACATTTAGGATAAGAAAAATTATCAGTAAAGGTTGGAATATAACAGTGGTAAAGTGCTTAAGGACAGATTGTGTGTGTGTGTGTGTGTGTGTGTCCTGACAGGGACCAGCTATCCAAGGAATTGCCTAGTTGAAGGCACAGCAGAACATCCAGGTCTTTTAAATCCTTGGGGAAAGAGGACAGGGAGGGTGCAGGCCAGATCTCCCTGGGGAGGAAATTCCAGAGGCAGGGGGCCACGACTGAGAAGCCCTTTCCCTCAGTCCCACCAACCATACTTAAGACGGGAGGTAAAAGTGAGAGAAGAGCCTCCCCAGAAGATCTTAAAGATCATGTGAGTTCGTAGGGAAAGATGCGGTCACGAAGATAAGCAGGTCCCAAACTGTTTAAAGCTTTGAAGGTGATGACCTGCACCTTGAATTAGGACCAGAAACTTATTGGCAGCCAGTGGAGCTGTTTAAACCGGGGGGAGGGGGGGGGGTTGACTGTTCCCTGTAATTTGCTCCAGTTAACGATCTGGCCACCAGCCTTTGCACCAGCTGCAGTTTCCAGGCCATCTTCAAGGGCAGCCCCACATAGAGTGCATTACAGTAATCCAACCTTGAGGTAATTAAGGCGTGGACCACCATGGTCAAGTCAGACTTCTTGAGGTACGGTTGCAGCTGGCTGCATGAAAGCCCTCCCAGTCACTGCCGACATCTGATCATCAGGTGTCAGAGCTGAATCTAAGAAGACCCCCAAACTGTCTTCAGGAAGAGTGTAACCCCAATAAGTCGCACGACTGACCTTGAGAACCTCTGTCTTGTCAGGATTTAGCTTCAGCTTGATAGCTCTCATCCAGCCCATCACAGCTGCCAGGCACTGGTCCAGGACCCAAGGGACTTCCTTGGAATTAGGTGGAAAGGAGTAGTAAAGTTGCGTGTCATCTGTATGGAGATGGCACTGAACTCCAAAACTCTGGATGACCTCACCCAGCAGTTTCATGTAAATATTAAAAAGCATGGGGGAAAGAATAGAACCTTGTGGGACCCCACAGACCAGGGATCTGAGCGGGTGTCCCCCAGCTTCACCAACTGGGTGCAGCCCTCCAGGAAGGAGTGGAGCCACTGCAAAATAGTGCCCCTAAGCCCCATTCCGGAAAGCTGCCCGAGAAGGATACTATGATCAATTGTATCGAAAGCTGCTGACATATCCAGGAGAACCAACAATGAATTGACACACTCCTCCTGTCAAGTTCTCTGCAGAGATCATCCACCAAGGGTGACCAAAGCTGTCTCGGTACCATGACCAGACCTGAAACCAGACTGTGATGGGTCCAGATAATCAGTCTCGTCCAAGAACCCCTGGAGTTCGGAAGGAACCACTTGCTCCAGAACCTTGCCCAAGAAAGGAAGATTTGAAATTGGGTCTTTATATCTCTAGGAGCACACTAGCCTCCCACAATAGAATTAATGTTTTATCTGGTTTTGTTCAGGAAGGTCCCCTGTCTCTTAAGAGAGTGTTCAGGGGACCTGTCAGTTCTGGGGAAAGAGGAATGGAGCATAACACCTTACATGAGCTACCCTCAATATTCTATTATCTATGCCAGTGCTTTTTAAACCTTTCTGCAGGGAACCCTGGCATATCTATATAAATAAAAATGTAATGTTCGTTTGTGGGATTATAATGATTCAAAAACCACTGGGTGAATTGATACCAAATTTGGACACAATACACCTATCAGTCCAATGAGTGACCATCTATAAAGGAATGGAAAAGGAACCTATACCGAGTCACACACTATTATAGATCAATCCTGCCTCTGGTCACCAATATAAAAGATTTTACACGGTATAAAGGGTTCTACACGGAGTTACTGTATTTGTAATGTATTGTAATATTGTAATGTGTGTGCTCTGATAGAGTGAACACGCTTCAATCTTCTGGTATATTTGCTGCCACAACCTAAGCTGTCTTAGAATGTTAAAGATGATCTTCTGAGGCAAACTTTTCCCTGCCAACCCCGTTCTCCCTCAGCTCCCAAAGATGACTGTGATGTTAAGATGTAAAAGAAATTAGAATTATACCCACAGGAATGAATAACAACTGAGGTTTCTTTAAAAGTTGAAATAGAGAAAAGATGCATTTATTAGAACAAACAACTGATTTCTTTGATGAGGCACAAAAGCTTAGCTTGTTACTAAGGTACAATATTCATGATGATTCCCTTAAAAACTTACTTGACTTAACTATTACCGAAATCCCTCACTCTACAGTAATGCAGTAGCAGTGAGTCCCAGCGCAGTAGCAGTGAGTCCCAGCCTAACCTCCTCAGGCTGTCTTCAGAGCAATTAGCTCGCTCTAATCAGAGTACTCTACAGCTAATCTACTCTACCCAGAGAGCAAACCACTTGTGTTAACACCCACAAGTAAACCAGGAGACTACTTGACCTTCCTGGCCAATAATGCAGCCTTGCCTGTCACAAACGCTCTCTATCAGAAAAACAATCTCAAAAGAACCTCTTCTCTCTTCTGTTCTCAAAACCACTCCCTCCTCTCTCCTAGAAGCTGTCACTTTTTCCCTCCCAGGACTTGGCTCCTCCCATCTGCCCTAACCAATCCCAGGAGATCTCCAGCTCCTCCCCTCTTCTCACTTTCCACTCACAAGATGTCTGCTTCCCTGGCTTACACTCCCAAAATGGAGGCCTGCCTCACTGATATCCCAGGCTTCTCCTTCGGCCTACTAGGTAAGAATCATTACACCATCACTCAGAAAAACACTGAAAAACACATTGGAAAACACTTAAAAAGCTAAAAAATAATTTAAAAAATACAACGCATGCACAAAACCCACATGTATACACATAAACACAAATATATACACACAGAGACACAAATATATACACACAGAATTGTTTGTAGGATTAACATAACTCAAAAACCACTGGACGAATTGACTCCAAATTTGGATACAATACACCTATTAGGCCAATAAGTGACCATCGCTCATAAAAACACTGACATGGCGGAAGGGACTTAAAAAGCGAAAAAACAAAAAATACATTACGACACATGCCCAAACCCATATATATATGCAAACACACATATAAACAAATACACACACAAAACACATATACACAGACTGGGCCACAGCAACGCGTGCCAGGGGATGGCTTGTAGGTATATAAAATAGATATAAAAATTAAACATTTGCTGATAACAAATCGGCATTCACAAGGCTTGCTAAACAGACTGATTTTCCTTTTTTTATAAATACTAGGTGATGTTATAAAAACTTGCTATTTCCAGTTTTTTCATAATCCCAACATTGAGGTAAGGGGACCCCATTCGGGGTCAGGGCATACAGTTTAAGAAGTAATTATCTATGCAATAGCTCAATTTAAAAACTTGTTTGTGCACTGTAGTACTCTGGGTTACTCATACAATGGTGCCTTGAGTTACGAGTTTAATTTGTTCCATGATCATGCTCTTAACTCAAATTGCTCCTCAAAATAAATTTTCCAGTTGAAATATGTTGAAATCCTATTAGCTCATTCCAGCCCCCCCCCCCCAACCAACCACCCCTCCCCCATTTTTGCTAGATTTTTAAAAATAAGAACATCTATGTATATAAAAATGTAATGTTCGTTTGTGGGATTAACAGAACTCAAAAACCACTGGACGAATTGACACCAAATTTGGACACAAGACACCTAACAATCCAATGTATGTCTTTCACTCAAAAAACTGATCTTGTCATTTGGAAGTTGTAGTTGCTAGGATTTATAGTTCACCTACAATCAAAGAGCATTCTGAACCCCACCAATGATGGAATTGAACCAAACTTGGCACACAGTTCTCCCATGACCAACAGAAAATACTGGAAGGGTTTGGTGGACAGTGTCCTTTGGTTTTGGAGTTGTAGTTCACCTACATCCAGAGATCGACTCAAACAATGATGGATCTGGACCCAATTCTACACGAATACTCAATATGCCCAAATGTGAACACTGGTGAAGTTTGGGGAAAATACAATCTTGACATTTGGGAGATGTAGTTGCTGGGATTTGTAGTTCAACTACAATCACAGAGCATTCTGAACCCCGCCAACAATAGAATTGGGCCAAACCTCCCACACAGAATCCCCATGACCACCAGAGTGGGCCACAGCAACGCGCGGCAGGGGACGGGTAGTGTATTATAAATAACAAATAATGTATAAATGCACATTCACATAAAACAATAAAAACTCGAAGTTGTGGCAAGGAGGCACATTTAAGGCAACAAAATGTGTGTTAACCAGGGTAACAACAAGGCAAAACCTGCAAATTCACATGGAACAATAGAGAAAGAAATATGAACTTTAAAATGGTTGAAGCATAAAGTTGTGGCAAGGAAGCACAAAGTGAAGAGGCAGAAGAGAAGCATCATTTTCTCTATACTCTACTCATTCCAGCCTCCCTCCCTCTCTTGCTTTTTCTCCTCATGAAGTCAAACATTCCAGGAATGAAAACTATACAAAATCAACTAACCCAAAGTTCCTCAAAGCAGACAAGAGCACAGCAGACAGCAATCTCCCAAAGCTGACAAGAACACAAGGCACAGAGTCTGCTTCTTTGAAGCCCTAAAGCCCTGTACTCTTGCAATAGTTTTTAACTCTAAATGCTACTTGTATGTCAAAGCCTAACCGGGCTGAGTGACAGCTCTTAACTCAAAATGCTCTTAAGTTGTGATGCTCTCAAGTTGAGGTTCCATTGTATAAGGTGACTTGATATTGTGAATAGTAAATAAATAACCTTCTGCTTCTAATAGGAAAATGTGCTATCTGTGAACACTAGTGAAACAGGACAGTGCAAGAAAACAATGATTTCTGATTTGAGCATGTTGGACCTCAGAAAAAATATGAAAGTAGAGGTAAGTTCTCATTTCTTCTCATTTGAATCTGGATTTTTCATTTGAGTGTTATTTAACATCATTAGAATTTCTTATCCTTTTTATTATAGTTGTTGATCAGGAGAAGGGATGATTCAGGTTCATTCCTTTCATGTGGAAACTAATAGTAGAGTGTGGAGTAGTTGTTCATTGTTGGCACAATTATTTTGAGTAATATTTCCTAACTGACACAAATCCTTTACATCTGGTGCTTTGACTAAAATATTACTACAATTCAGTTAATTACACTACTGATTGAATTTATTATTGTAGACAAACTTTTGCAGCATAACCTTTTCCCCCCAGGGCATAGTGATGGAATTTCTTAATCCCCATGAATTCTACATACAAATCAAGACATTTGAAGCTCTAATTAATATAAACAAACTTTCTAAGAAACTCGAAGATCAAGATGGAATAAATCTAAATGAATATATTCCTACCAAAGGGGAAGTTGACATTGCACAGTCCTCCTTGGATCAGGTAAACATAATATTTGACTATGCATAGTGACCAGTTTGTTTATTTAAATTTATTGACATTTTGTCTTTCTTCCAGAATGGCATTTATGGTGACTATCAGTTGACATTTGGCAGACTCTGAAAAATAACATAGTACCCACATTTAAACCTCGATGATTTACTACAAGGCTAAGTAATGGCCACCTGTCAGGGGTGCTTTGAAAGCGATTTTCCTGCTTCCTGGCAGGGGGTTGGACTGGATGGCCCACAACATCTTTTTCAGCTCTATGATTCTGTGATTTCATGGAATGCCATTGTCATCAGCCTTAATAAACTTAACCAATGGTGAGCGATGGGACTTGTGATTTAGAAACGTAGCCCACAGGTGATTTATATATGTATAATAAAAAAGAACTAGATAATAGTTCTCATTTAAACAGGTGTGATGATAGAAGGGGCAGTAGCCTCTATAAGTCAAAGTGATAACTACCCTGTAGTTCAGCTTTCTATGCCAATCGATTTTCTCCTGATTTTTCTTCAGTATTTAATGCAGATGAAAAGTATTGGGGCCCTTAGTTGCATTATGTCTGGGAATTTCTATCAGGATAAAATGATTGTCTTGAAGTTACTGAATTTTAACCAAAGATATGTCATAGCTAGGAACCATATGGCTTTTTGTGTCATAATGTAGCACACTATGCTAGTGAACCATAATATACCAAATGTGTGAATTCACAGGCAACCACTCGGGAAACTATGTTTACAGGTAAGCAACCTATATTTTCCTCATATGGCAAATGACTCTGGAGACAAGTTCCTGTTTATGTGGAGACTCCTCAGTGACCATGCATTCTTAATTGGGTGAAGAATATTTGGTGATTGGGTTTTTAAAAAAGAAATATGTGTATATATTTCTTAAGCAGACCTTTTTATACAGGAAGTATGTTTTCTTTGCAAGAAACAGTCTATTTTATGCAGACAGCAGTTTCTGTTCAGAAAACTTGGTTATCCTGTCATGCCATTTCAACTAATATATGTGCATACAAGGGAAAATAACCAAAGCTCCATCTCAAAAACTTCATGGATTGGAAGAAAATATACAAAGATGAGAAAGAATCAGAATAGAAATATAAATGTCAGTAAATGACAGAGTGATAGTTTATTTCCCCACTTCCCCTCCTTCTGTGAGTTGTTTTGAGCCCTCTGGTTCGTTCAGACAAAAAAAAAACCAAAACAAAACTACAAATGTTTGACTTGATTAGTGGTTTGAGTATTGAATTATACCTTGAGACCCAGATTCAAATCTCCACTCAGCCATGGAAATCCACCATGGAAATCCACTGGATAATCTTGAGGCAAGTCACATTCTCTCATCCTCAGAGGAAGGCAAAAGCAAACCCCTTTTGAACAATTTTGCCAAGAAAACTCCATGGCAAATTTGTCTTAGGGTCACCCTAAGTACACAGCAGCATTTCAAAACAACCCTATCAGTTTTCTACATCCACTCATAGTATGTGTAATATGCACACAACTGTTTAGCTGGTGAAGAATGAAAAACGTTATTCTAGCCTTGTAGCAGTAATGTTTAAATATGCAAGCACATTGTACTAATACAAGATCGGAGCATTCCGTAAATAGTTGCAGTTGGTTTTTTTAAGGTATCATTAATGAGAACATAGTATTTTAATTACAGTGGCATACCTCAGAGTAAAAATATTTGAATGACTGTTATCAGTCTCAATAAAACTAAATATTTTCTGATCAGCAGGATGGTATCCTATTCTAAAATACATCAAAATAACATTGCTCTGACAAAACTATTAGTATTTCAGTGAAGATGAAATAGGATTTATTCTGTTTGGGGAAGGAAAAAAATATTGGTACCACTTTAAGTTTTTGTAAATCTAAATTTGTGATGGCACTGAATGGTGTTTGTGATGGCACTGAATGGTGCTTGCTGTGAAGCCGCCCCGAGACTCCCTTTGGGGGTGACAAGTGTGGGGTACAAGTATATGAAATAAATAAATAAATAAATTTATTTTTAATATTTAGAATTGGTATAGAGTTCTGATCAAAGAGGTGGATATCCTTAAGAAGAATGCTCACGTACTATATATTGACTATGGGAATGAAGATACTATACCACTAAACAGAATTAAACAATTGCCCAAAGATATTGCTCACTTTCCACCCTGTGTAAGTATACATTTTAATATCTAAAGCTCAGTTTGGTATGATTATGGCAGTATGTGAGGCATTGAATTGTCCATATTCAAATAGTGACATTACATTCTCTCAAATCCAAAATGCAAAGTGAAGCAATGGATTATTCTGATGTAGTATTGTTCAATGAAACTGTGCTTTACTAGTCCAGCTGTTTTCCTTGTCTAGTGGTTGAGATGAAAGGGGCAAGTGTTCTCCAACTCCCTTTTGTTAATATTTTATTCTTGGACAGGGTTTCCAGCATTGAAAATGGTAATAATACTAGTATTGGAATGAAGCTCTCTACCATTTTTGTTGTTGCAACTCCTTGTGAAGTACTCATGAGAACGGTAGATTATTTCTATAAGTTTTCTAAAGCAATATGTTGATTTTTAAGAAGTTTTAAAAAGAGGAATGCATTAATTTATTACACACAATGGGAGTTGCATCTCTTTAAGATTCTCTCATGCCTGCCTTTTAAGAAACTTTCTGTTACGTGCTATTTGCACTTATAATATGTTTTTAAAATTGTTGGCATACTGACTATTCAGAAAATATATTTTACTCTTGTAAATTGATATGTTTTCAGGCCGCCAAATGCTCTGTTGAAAATGCTTTTTTTGTTAAAGAAAAATGGAATGCAGTCTGCCGCAATTCTTTTGCTCCACGTCTTAAAGGAATGCGTTGTTTCTTAACTATTACTAATATTTTGATGGGTGAAATTCCATGTTTTATTGTAGATGTTACTTTACCAGATTCTGGTAAGTTTGAATAATGACAATACTTTGTTATTAAAGTAAACTGTTATGATAAGATAATATTCAGTAAAATGATTGTTGCAGAAGGTGCCATGAATGAATATAAAATGATGCAAGGGATATATAAGTTTTCCTCACCATCGGTTAGAGAGGATTTGGCAGAGGGGTAATAATTAACATAATGAGCACCAAAATCATGAACAATATGTATGGTATGTGCAAGTAATCATCAACAAAATTAGTATTATGTGGGAAAAATCCCCTCTTTGATTTCAGAATTTAGGAGGCAAGGCTGGGACAGATCTACCTGGGTAAGCTATTAGCAGATTGATGCACAGATAGATTTGACAAATCAGGTTACAGCAGTCTTGGAAAAGATAAATGATTCTAAATACATTGCATTATTTTTACAGTTCTGCTGGTATTCATAATTTCTTTTCAGGTAAACACTTAAATGAAATGCTCTTGGAAATAGAAAGTGTTTTGAATTTAAAGGATGTGCATATTGAGATGGGTAATTCAACTACTGGTGAGTTCACAGATTTATGTTATGCTACTTTAGTTTCTGTATAAAAGGCAGAATGAAAAACAAGAATTAATAGAAACTACTTCAATTGCTTCTTATTGTATTTTTTTCCTGCATGGTGAGCTTGGGAGCAAATTTCATGCACTTGGATAAATTACAATGTGTCTTCGTGTCACAAAGTTGCTTTTTCTGCAATTTGAAGGGCTAAAATGCAACAGTTCTCTAGCCCGTGAACTTTTTGCATTCATATGGAACAGAGAGATTTGCTCCCATGCTGGATATGCCAAAGTAGTGCATGGGGAAATGGTTGCATTGACCTTGGCTTTTCTGTGGAACTCAAATCCACAGAAATTCCAGACTGAACAGTACATAAAAGGCAGCAATATAGTTCTCAGACTTTTTATTTCATTGGGGTGTGATGAGCCAGAGGTTTAGACTCAAATGATTCTGGGATTTCTCATATTCTGAACCAAGAAAAGAAATAGAGGACAAACAAAAAAAAATGCCAGAAAGAAAACAAAGGAAAAATGTAGTTAACCTCTTCTCTAACCTCACCTAGCCAAAAGAAAACAATATTAGTGTCACTCTCTAGGCCTCCCAATGTTCAGTCCTTTCTCAAACAACATCCCTCCCTCAAGTTATTCTTCAAAATTGGCAAGGCCTTCTCTTCCTCATGCAGAAAGTGAGCAAATTTTTTCCCAATGTCTCTTCTTTTAGTAAACTGATAAATTTGTCCATCTTGGCCAAGTCCATCATTATCATCTAATCCTCTGTTGGTACTACTGAGTTTTTCTATTTCCGTGCATAGAGCAATATGGCTGCTGCAATCATATATTGTGACAAACTTCCATAGTCATTTATATCAGTCAGACCAAGTAGAAAAGTCTCAGGATTTAACTCCAAAATTGATCTACCATCCATCATTTTATTTTTAAAAACTCCCTTTCAGATTGGAACGTATCATACATTTAAACCCTTTGGTCCACATTTTCTCCCATTGGTCCAATGTATTATGCCCAACATGTTGTGCCCACCTCCTCATGCATTCTTTAACTGGCTCATACACCGTTTCCCATTTCCATAACATACATTTTGGCAATTAAACATTCATCAGTAGCACACAATTACAACTGAAATTTCAATTTACTCTGTTCAAAACCAAATAATTGCTTGTCTTGCCTAAATCTCTCCATTATCTGTACAGTAAATTAGAAAAGCACCAAAAACCAAACTCTCTGCAATCAGTTGTTCCACACAGCCATATAACCCAGAATATCAAGACAGATATTCCATAATACTTGCTTTGAACTGGAATATCTAAATCCACACTGCCATATAATCAAATTCAGTTTGCATTTTACACAACTGTTGGAAAGGGCCTAGGCAATCTTGATATGATAACAATTTCTTCTTGCCTTGTGTCTCTTCTGTAATATGCTTTTTGCACAGATACCCACGTTGGCATCTGCATGCATAAATTTAATCTATATCTTTCCCATATTCGTAATAGAGCCTGTCTAACTGAACAATTTTTAAAATCTACATTTTAGGTTAGTAATATCACATGTAACCATTCCAACTATATCTCAAGTCATATTCTTCCAGAGCCAGCATCCTAATATTACTCAACAAAACTCAGTCTTTTTTATCCAAACTAAGCAGCAAGCAGCAAAGTAAAATTTCAGATTGGGTGCACCTACTTCACCATGTTCTTTTGCCTCTGCCCCTCTTTTTAGAAAATGCTACACTTGTGTGACCAAGCTCCCCAATGCGGATGGCCATGCCAAATGCTTACTTTGCCTGTGGGAGGACCATGTTATCCAGGCCTGCGCCATCTGCCAGACCTTTATCCTCCAGGCACGACAACATAGAGAGACTCACTTGTGGGCACTCCTTTACAAGCAGGCCCTGTCTGCACACAACATACGCTCACTGGCCGATTTCTCTCCGCTGGAGCTCCAGAGGATCCAGGGCATCAAGAAGATCTCACCAGGCCTGCCAGAGCCTGCCACACACATGGCAGAAAGGGCAAAGTCACCTTGCCCACCAGAGCCATCTGGGAATGCAAAGGAGGTACACAAAAGCCAGAAAGGCTAAAGCAGCCAAGAATGCCCCCACCAGAGCCCGTGGGCCAGTTGACAGCAGTGGCTCAGCAACTGCTGTCACCTGCTTCAGTACCTTCCACCGATTGAGCCCCAGCACTTCTTGGGCTGGGGGAATACAACTATACAACCCCAACCAGGATCAATGGTGTTGCCTCCACGTGAGCCTCAACAGCAAGATGGGAACTTGCTTAACACTGTCCCATATTACCATGTAGCAAATTCCTCTGCACCAGAGGTCACGCTAATGCTCAAGGGGGAGGTCATCCACGTGCCATTTTCAACACTCCTATTATTTGTACTATGATAGGTGCCACTCCCCTTCACCAGGATCATAGACCTTTTGATTATAAAGCCCTTCCAGGGACCCATATTACCACCTGGGATCCCTCTTGCCAGACTCATGCTTCCCCTGTCACCAGGAACATGGCTGACCATATTATCCTATTTGCCGCAGGGAGGAGATTCCATCTGAACATTAGGAAGAACTTCCTGACTGTGAGAGCCGTTCAGCAGTGGAACTCTCTGCCCCGGAGTGTGGTGGAGGCTCCTTCTTTGGAAGCTTTTAAGCAGAGGCTGGATGGCCATTTGTCAGGGGTGATTTGAATGCAATATTCCTGCTTCTTGGCAGGGGGTTGGACTGGATGGCCCATGCGGTCTCTTCCAACTCTTTGATTCTATGATTCTATGAGTGTTAGCAATGCCAGTGCCATGCTTCTTGCCAGGACTACAGCTGATTTCTCAGTCAAACTTCTGGCTGCAGCTATAGCACTCAGTCGCCACACTTGACTCCATGTTTCAGGGTTATCCTCAGTATGCACTGTGATAGAGGACCTTCCCCTAGATGTAGCAGGCCTTTTAAACTTAGCAACTGAAACTCAGTTGGAACATACCCAAAATTGAGGCAAACAGCCCACAATATGGCTTCCCAGCTTATTCCGCGCAACATCAATGTCTGTGTTGGGGAGGCTACTCTCAGTGCCATCAGAGACTCCTTGTTAAAGGGGTCATCTCTCGAATTCCATCCTCAAAGCCATACCAGTGCTTCTCCCGCTATTTCCTCGTCCCTAAGAAGGACACCCTATCTTGGTCCTCTGCAGTGTCAACCGCTAAATCAAGCCCCACAAGTTTCAGACAACTACCCTCACTCCCATCCTACCCCTCTTGAGAAAAGGGGCCTGGTTCATGGCTGTTTACCTTAGGGATACTTATTTTTACATCTCCCATCAAGGAACAATATTCAGGTTCCTTAGTTTTGCATTCAGGCATCATTTTTACTGTTTCAACTTTTTTCCCTTTGAGCTATCCACTGCCCCTCATGTTTTTACTAAGTGCATGTCAGTGGTAGCAGCTTGTCTGAGCCAAGATGACATTGTTGTCTACCCTTACATTAAGGTAATGGAGGATTTCAACTACTCTGATCAAACTTTGCAAGAGTACAAAGTCCAACAAGTTCTTCACTTGCCTTGCAGACAATTTATTGTCCAGAAGGTAGAAGAGGCATCAAAAGGGATCAGCTATTCTGGATCTGATCCTAACCAACAATGAGGATCTGGTTAATGGCGTGGAAGTGGTGGGATCCTTAGGTGGGAGTGACCATGTGCTCCTGCAGTCTGTGATACAAAGGAAGGACAAGACTAAGACTAAGACAAGTCAAACATGCATTCTAGAATTTAGGAGAACTGACTTCAGGAAATTTAAGGGAATACTGAGTGTGATTCCATGGACAGGAATACTAAAAGAGAATGGAGTTAATGATGGACGAGAGTTTCTTAAAAGTGAGATACTAAAGGCACAATTGCAAAAAGTGCCAGCAAGGATTAAAAATAGAAGTGTAAAACCGGAATGGATGTCCAAAGAACTTTTAACTGAGAAACATGCACAAGAAATGGAAACGGGGGAGGGATCCCCAAAGAAGAATTCAATTAAATAACCAACACATGTAGGGAAAAGGTTCATAAGGCTAAGGCACAAAATGAGCTCAGGCTTGCCAGAGAGATTGAAAATAATAAAAGGGGGTTCCTTTGGTTATGTCAGATGAAAAAGTAAACAGTAGGGCCTCTGCGTGGAGAGCATGGGGAAATGCTAACAGGGAATAGGGAAAAGGCAGAGCTGCTCAACACCTTTGCCTCAGTCTTTTTTCCAAAAAGAGATTGGTGTTCAACCTGACTAGCATTAAGCCCATGAGGCAATAGGGGAAATGCAACCCAAAATCATTTTTAAAAAGTAGTCGAGGAATACTTGGCCAGATGAACTAAATCCAAGAGTATTACAGAAACTAGCAGAAGTAGTTTTAAGAACCACTGGTAAATAATATTTGAGAATTCTTGGAGAACATGAAACGTCCCAGCGGACTGGAGAAGGGCAAATATTGTCCCTATCTTCATTAAGGGGAAAAAAGAGGACCCAAAAAATTACTGTCCAGTCAGTGTGACATCAATACCAGGAAATATTCTGGAGCACATCATTAAGGAGTCAGTCTGCAATAACTTAGAAAGGAATGCTGTGATTACTAAAGTCATGCCAGACTAATCTTACCTCTCTCTTTTTTTTTTGATAGTTACAAGCTTGGTAGATGCAGGGAATGCTGTGAATGTAGCATATCTTGATTTCAGTAGGCCTTTGACAAAGTCCCTCATGACCTTCTTTCAAGCAAACTAGTAAAATGTGGGCTAGGCAATGCTAATATTAGGTGGATCTAATATTAAGCAACTGAACCCAAAGGGTGTTCACCTCATCCTGGAAAGAAGTGACTAGAGGAGAGCTGCATGGTTCAGTACTGTTCTATATTTATTTATTTATTTCAAACATTTATATCTCATCTTTCTCAACCCCTGAAAGGGGGGGGGGGGACACAGGGCGACTTACAACCGGCAGCAATTTGATGCCGCACATACAAAAACAAAATATAATAAGGCAATTACACAATGAATAAAACATTAGGTTAAAAACAATTTAAAACATTATTATCAACTGTATAGCCATTTCCAAGTCCAATTCAGCATCCAAAGACCCAATTCAAAGGGCAATGGCAACCACAAGCCTTTCTGCATGCAGTCTCTCTGCTGGGTGGCAACATGGTTCACTTCTGTCACATTTGCCAGCCATTACAGACTGGATGCTTTGTCCAGGAAGGAAACTGCCTTTGGCAGAGCTGTGCTCTTTTTTTCACTGGCATCCCGCCTTCCAAGGTGAGTAGCTTGCCAGTCACCACATAGACACCACAAAGAAGACTGAGTTGCTTACCTGTAACGTTTTCTTCGAGTTGTGGTTTGTGAAATTTGCACATCCCTGCCCATCCTCACACCCCCACACCCCACACACACTGTTATGCCTTTCTCCTTAGCTGCAGGTCTATCGGCTGGGGGAGCTGAGGCTCAGCCTTGCCCACTGCTACTTATACTCCATGGGGAGAGTGGGTGGGGCTTCCACCAAAATATCTGATTTGGATATCTAGAAAGTTCCAAACTGCACCATGCATGCCCAGACAGTATATGTAAATTTCACAGATCACCACTTGAAGAAACACAGTTACAGGTAAGCAATTCATTTTTATCTATCTTAAGGATAATTATTAACCTTCCAGTGTAAACTGATACAAGTACGCAAATGGGACGTAGAAATCTGGTTTTTATACTAGATTCTGTTTTTCTTAGGTTCTGCTGTGAAGAAAACTAACATTGAAGAAAAGAAATGTGAAAGCAAGGATCATAATGATTGTCTGACTCCAAAGGCTATTTCACTATCTATAGGAGACTCGTTTTGGGGTTTGGTGTCCCATATACAAACGCCTGAAATTTTTTTTTGTCAGCAGATAAAAAATGGGAGTAAGTGTTTTGTTTTGTTGTTTTTAGTTACATCGAATTGTAAATACTTTACTTCTTCCATGATCTCTGTGAATCACGCAACTGCATATTTTTCACCTGTGCAGAGCCTCTTCAGAACCTTCTAGAATCACTAGGCAAAATCAATTTTGGTGGTAACCCCATCACCACCTCTGCATTAAAAGCTTGGCAGGCAACAGAATTAATTAATTAACTTTATTTATATCCCGCTCCCTCTCCAAGCAGGATTTGGGGCAACTTACAAGAGGTAAAACATAATACAAAACACAATTTACAAAATTCAACATGATACATAAACAATAATATCAAAATACCTAAAAACTATACCACAATGCAAAACAAAAAACAAAACATAATACTTTATGACAATATAAAAAGTCTGACAGACTGACATAACTATCTTCTATGTGTCTATCTATACACATGGCAGAGGTGTCCACTTACACAGACAGCCTCCGATCTCCACAAACAGGCTATAACCCACAGTGCTGAAGAGCCACCAATGACCCTCCAAGGATATTTCAGGTTATAGTGGGCGCCATGAGCATGTCTCCCAACCCCTGCCAATCTCCTCAAAGACGATACTGTCCACCACCTAAGTTAAGGCTTTCATGTAGGGACCATTTCATCCTTTTTTCTCCAGAATGGACATCCCAGGGTTCCTTATTCTTTCTATTGCTGTGGAATGTGCATGACCCCTCCCACTGCCTCTCTTAACCTTTTCCTATGGCACACAGCAAACAAGAATTGATCAGCAGCTGAACAAGAGATTGGGGAGGATTCAGCATGATTTGTAGGAGTTGTAATTCACCTACATTCAGAGAACACGGAACCAAACCAACGATGGATCTGGACCAAACTTGCCATGGATGATGGGACTTACAGTATCTTCACTCACTTCTAGAGACCATTGCGGTCCCCACGAATGATGGACCTGGACCAAATTTGGCACAGAGCTCCCCCATGACGCCCTATACATCTTGGTGCGGTTTAGGGGAGGATGGACCATGGACGATGGGATTTACAGATCCTTCACCCTGTTCACCTCCCACAGACCACTGTGACCCCCATGAATGACGGACCTGGACCAAACTTGGCACGCAGACTCCCCATGACCAACAGAACATACTGGAGACATTTGAGGAAAATAGACCTTGATGGGAGTTATAGTTTACCTGCAATCAAAGAAACTGACCCCCACTGACAATGGACTGGGAGCAAACTTGGCACAGAGAAGCCTCATGACAAACTGAACATACTGCAGGGGTTTGCGGGAATGGACCTTGATTTTGGAAGTTGTAGTTCACTTTTATTCAGAAAGCATTGAACCCAGTCGATATCACATCTGGTCCAAACTTGGCATACAGCCCAATATTATACAGGCCTGGTTTGGGGCTGATTGCCCTGGGAATCTGGGAGTTGTAGTTCACCAGCATCCAGAGAACACTGAACCCAGCCGTGATCGGATCTGGACCAAACTTGGCAAACAGAACCAACATGGTCAACTGTGCATACAGGCGGGGTTTGGGGGTGATTGTCCTTGGCATATGGGAGTTGTAGTTTACCCGTATCAAGAGCACTGAATACAGCCAACGTTGGATCTGGCACACAGACCCAACATAGCAAACTTTGAATACTGGCAGGGTTTGGGGTTATTGGCCCACGATTCTGGGACTTGTAGTTCACCCACATACTTACGCATTTTCTAATGGGAGCATTCATATAAACAAAAGAAAATACTGGCTTTTTTCTAAGACACAGAGATGCAAATTACCAAACTGATATTATCTAACACCCCAAAAATAACAGTGCCTTTTTCAAATAACCTGGGCCAACATAACATACTGCAGGGGTTTGGGGTGGAGTAGGGGTGTGGGAATAAACAACCATTTTTAAGTGCCTGCTTCCACATAAAAGTTTTTAATTTTTTTCCTGAAGGAAACTAGGGAGGGAGCCTGTCTAATTTCTTTGGGAATGGCATTCCAGAGCTGGGGCGCCACCACGAGAAGGCCCTTTCTCGTGTTCCCACCAGCCGTGCTTGTGAGGGTGGTGGGACCATGAGTCGGGCCTCCCTGGAGGATCTTAAGGCCCAAATCCCTCCTTTCCTTTCATTTAAATTGCAGCCAAGTTCAGGCACCTCTGCTCATAATGAGCTCAGGTTTTTTTCCCTGTTTTCTTGGTTTGAAACTATCTGAACTGCTAACTTTATATCAATTTCTCCTTCCTTGGGAGGAATCTGGGGCCTTCTGTTCTGTATATCATGATCTTTGTTGTTCGACCATTGGGCCTCTGTGAGTACTTGAATGTTGCGGTCTTCAGTGCAATGACTACCACTACCACATGTAATGGAAAGCTCCCAAACATTGATGGATATTCTAAATGCTTAATGTGTCTTGAGAAGGGCCACTTGCTCCAATTTTGCATTCATTGCCAGGTGTTTACTCCTCCAGCAAGGAAAAAATCGGGAGACCAGGTTGCGGTCTGCCCTGTATCAGCAGGCTTTCTCCCCTGCATCTTCAACATCCAGTTTCAAAGTACAGTTCGACATATAAAGCAATGACTTCTAGCTCGGCAAAGCCAACCTTGTTTATAAAGGCGGCTGTGTAGTGTTCATCTGATAAGGCAGCTACCTCTCACTGAAAGACGACAAAATTGAAGGATCCCACTCCTGAGAAGCCTGCTATGCTTGGCAAGGCCTATGAAACCAAGGAAACTAGGAAGACGACAAAGCCACCATGCCACAAATAGGACTCTCATAGGGTCATAGGCAAATCTTTGCTTGTGACGAATATGAACCACCTGTGACCCAGAGTGCATCAGTTCAGGTATTCCCACTGGTTTTGCCCCTGGACAGTACTCTGATGTAGAGAATGTGGATCTTGGTCTTGTCACAGATGACGTGCCTCCTCTGCTGCATTCTTCGGACTACAACAAGGATGAGATCCTAGTTTCGCCAGTGCCCCACCAGAGGTCATGGTTGAGGTCATCTGATCATTCTGTTCTGGAGGCTCCTCCTCCACCTTAGCAGCATGGCTGACAATGGAGAATTGGGAGTCCATCTCCTTGAGCCTAATATGGCTCCCAGTAGAAAGACTGAGCCACAACTCAGTGGTCAAGACTACCGACTCCCATGAGGAGCTCCTAGTATGCTTCGAGTAGCTATGCTTCCCCTCCAAAGAACAGTCAATTTCTGGATGAAGACCTTGATAATGACTACTATGAACCTCACTCGTCACCAGTGTCTGAAACTGGCTTGTTTGTGTCATTGGGGTACTGTTTCTCTGATTGCTCACTGGCTCAGAGTGTTAGCCATAGGTGCTCTGTCACCAGTGGATGATTTACACCTGATCATTTTATAAGGATGGGACTTGAAGTGAAACTGTCCACTCAGGTAGTGAATGGTCCACTGTTCAGTGATGCTCAGAAGCCTACTCCTCCCTCTGATTTTCATCGCATTTGCTTCCGGTGATGAAGGCTTTTTGGTCAAACCCATCATCGGTACCTTCTACTTTGATACTGCATTGGTGACTTGAATCTGCAGTGAGTTTCGCAGCATCCAAAGCCAAATTTAATAATTATAAATGAGGCACAATCTTGATTCTCCCAAAAGCTTTACTTGGCATCGGCCGATCCAGAGGGCAAGAAGATTGATTCATTGGGAGGAAAGTGGTCTGGAGCAGCCATACTTGCTCAGATCTCGACATATGGAGATTATATAGCAAACTGTCAAAGGCACTTGTAGGCTCTATTGCCCCCTTTGATAGGCTTGATGATGATGACCACACAGCCCTCTTTTTCTTAATTTTTTTAATTTGTTATTAATTGTAGGCACAATTAGAGTAATACAAATCACAATAATGAAATTCCACTTACATTTTCACTCAATATAATGTGCCTTACTTAACATGACCAATCCCAATTCCACCCTTATCAACCACTTGTGGCTAGCAGTTTTTCTCTCTCTCTCCCCCCGTCCCCCACCCACTGGGAAGTTATATCTCCAATTTGAGTATTATTTGAATTGCTCAGTCATGAATAAAGTGTGATTTAGTTCTATATATTTCCTTTTTCCATTTACTTTAACTATCAGAGTTCCTCATTTCAAGTCCCAGTTCTTCTTACAACCTTTTGTGCATTTCATCCTCTTTTCAAAAAATATATTCCTGGAACATACATTCTGCTAAATATTTGAACCATTTTTAATTCCCACTTTTCCTTCTCTTTCCAGTCCAAGGTTACTGACACTTGAGTCACTTCTGTCATATGCTTTATGATATCTGCCCATTTGTTAGTGCTGCTTTTACCCTCAATTTTCTGAATAAAAAATAACCTTTTGTTCTGCTCCACTTTTTGCCCTAATGGTTCTTCCATCTCTTTATTTTATTATAAAATAAATTTCCGCACCGCCCTCTCCACCTTTCAGCAGGAGACGTTCTTCCTGGCTCACCACCAGATCCAGTTCTCAAAACACATCAGATACGCCTGGAAGAATTCTAGCTCACACTATTGCCATCCACAATCACACCTTTCCTCCCCAGCCAGTGGTGATAGAGGATTTTATTTTCAATGTGGCAGGTGTCTTCAATGAGTCCATAGCTTTGAAGCTCAAGGACAACCAGGAGATGAGAATGTCAGCCAGGAATTACAGGTTTAACTCTCAATTCTTCCTGTCCTTTCAAGGCCATTCACAGCCATTTCAGAGTTGAACCACTCCGTCCCCACAGAGGTCCAAGGGCCATTCTCTCTTGCAGCAGTATTTATCCACTCAACATAAACCCTGACACTCACACTAGATCTTTGGCACTGATACATCCAAAAGAGGGTCTTCCCAATGACCTTTCATCTTCCCAGCAACTACAATCTTCTGGCAGACTCCCTGAGTGAGGTTTTGATATCTTGCCTCAAGTGGCAACTTCATTAGCCATTCCTTCACTGTCTCTTCGACACATTGGTCCACCTGGAGATTTATTTATTTATTTATTTATTTATTAGGAGCATTTATATCCTGTCTTTCTCACCTCCGAAGAGGGACTCAGGACGGCTACCAACAGGCACCATTTGATGCTGAACAATAAAAACAAGGCATAATACACATTTAGCATACATTAAAACAATTATAAATACATTAGAACAGTTTGTCGTTTGATGTCGTCTTCCAAATCAATCAGTTGCCGTCAGTTAAAACAATCTATTCTGTGAAAGCTTGATCCCATAACCAGGATTTGAGCTTCTTCCAGAAGTTCATGAGGGAGGGGGAAGATCTGATCTCATTAGGGAGGGATTTCCGTAGCTGAGGGGCCACCACCGAGAAGGCCCTGTCTCTCGTTCCCACCAAAGGATTGACTTCTTTGCTATGTTGGAGGGCACACAGTGCCCCTTGTTCTGTGCCAGATCCATCTCAAACTGCTCCATGGGTTGTTGGGGGGGAGGGTTCATCTTGGAATAGATATGTCACCCTTTCCGAGCTTTTCCACTGGTACCTCATATTTTAAAGGTGCTCGAGACAGACGCAACATGTTGCATCCTAATCACTCCATGGTAGCCAAGGTGACACTGGTTCATCTAGCTGCTGCAGATGTCTCGATGCAGGTGTCACTTTTCCAGTCTCCATGACAATGGCAAAGGGTTGGATTCAGCATCAGGATGTCAAGTCCCTCTGACTGTGCTGTGTGCACATTTTACCTATTTTATGGTATTGAAATAAACAAAAGAAATGGGTGACCTTTTCAAAACTTTATTATTGATAAGCTTTCTTATGGAATAAATCCTTTATTTTTTTTTCTCCTAAGGTGCTGCTTTGCTGTGTGTTATGACTCCAGCTGCGAATAACTTGTGTGTGCTAACCTCGTTGTGTGATTCACAGAGACCACAAAAAAAACAAAACAGTTTTTTTAAACAGGTATTTCTTTGAGTGGTCATCTGTGAATTCACACAACCCTGCCCATCCTCCCCATTGTCTGCAGCTGCAGCCTTGGGACTGAGGAGTTTTGGTGCCCTTGGATTTTTTATGCACTCGTAATGGGAGGAGGGGTTACCATCAAAATATTTCTGCGTAATGATTCCAGAAAGTTCCAAAGAGGCTCTGCGGATGCAGAATACACAGTTATGTGAATTCATAGATGACCACTTGAAGAAATACAGTTATAGGTAAGCAACCTGTTCATATCAGGAAAAAAGTTAATGTATAACAAAAGAAAGAAAGAAAGACGCTAAAGAGAAGTTTCTTTAAATGAGATTGTTTTTATGGGGTAAATGACAATGAAGAAAATATTCCAGTGAACTTAATGTGTGTTCTAGCTTACTGTGTATGCAAGCTATACATTTTACATTGATATGATTTGTCACATTGAAAAGTGCAAATTTAAAGAACCAAAACGGCTTGCAAGTAATGCCCGAGCTTCCAAAGAATCTAATCTGCATTGAAGTAAGAAAAAATAACATTTGTTCTGCCCATGTATGCTTTGCAGATAGTATTTCAGTTTTATTTTGTAGGACTTTTCACATAAATACCTATCTTGTCAGGCAAACTTTCCAAACTTCAAGAATCGCTGAATGAACACTGTGAGAAAACCTCTACTGTGAAAGATTTCTGCCCAGCAATAGGAAAAATGTGCTGTGCTCAGTTTACAGGTATGAACAAGGGAGAAAATGTTTCAAATATAATAGGCCCCTGGGTTCAACCATTTCCTCTCCTATGCATCTGGAGTGGGAGGTTGGAGTGGGGTGGTGTGATTGAGAAAAGAAATGCAGAGAAATTGATTAAGCGTGTAAGGAGAGCAGATAGGCAAGAGAGGGTAAGAATACTAATGGGGGAGAACATGGGGAGATGGGAGAAGAATGGGTGGAGCTAGGGAGTCATTCTTCCACCCTGTGTTTTGGGAGCAGAAACTACGAAGATAGAACTTTTCCAGAACATAAAGTTAAAGATCAATTTGTGAAGGAGGCTTGGAGTGGAGAAGTTCACATGCATGGCTGGGCATAGAATCACTGCTTCAGCAACTACATATTGGGCAAAATAGATAATGATTTTTTAAAATTTTTATTTTCCAGAAGACCAACAATGGTATCGTGCATTGGTTTTGTCCTTTGTTTCTGAAAACACAGTTCTAGTGGATTATGTAGACTATGGAAATGTTGAAGTTCTCAACTTAAATAAACTTCGACCAATTGTTCCAGAATTAATGGAATTATCAGTCCAAGCTATTAGGTGTACTCTATCAGGTATGAAAGAAAGTGATAGATAGCCAGTTATGGCAACAAACAAGTCTTTTAAAGGTGAAAGATGAGGGGTATTTTTTTTCTTTTTTTAAGGTGTGAAGCCAGCATCTGGAACCTGGTCCACAGAAGCAACTTCATTCATGAAGAAGCTATTTCATAATAAAGTGTTCATCATAAAAGTATTGGCTATGAAGGAGAATACCTTTGTAGTAGACATTACAAATGACTCAATGACTCCAGTAACAAATGTCTCTAGTTACCTCTTAAAATCAGGTTATGCAGTAGAAGAATCATCTGCAGTGGGAGTAATGGAATCACAAACTATTACATTGGAAGGAATTAGTGGTGAGTCTTTTACTGTAATAAGTATCTGCCTTCATAATGACAGCTACATTAACTGTACAAAGATTTAGGTTTAGAAATGGCATGTGACCATGATGTTTTACAGCAAAAACCATCCTGTCATGAATTGATCCCCTCATTGCTTCAGTAGGCAGGGAATAGAGTCTTAGAGGAGAAATCTTCCCACATTCCTTAGTCTAGTTCCTATCTTGGGTCCTCATATGCTGTTTAACTAACTTATTCCTTTGCTTTGTCTTTATAGCTTTTATCTTACTAATTATTTATCACCTATTTTCCTAAGTTTCTTTTTCTTTGGCTACTGACTTTTAAAAAATCTTGTTTCTATCTTTTCAACTGTTCTTTCTCTAGTCTGAAAAGAGACTAGGCAGAGAGTAATGGTTATTTAGGCTGCTGTAAGAGAAATATTGTCAAGAATGACGGTATTGATATAACTGTAGAATCTAATCTGCTACCAAGTCAAATTGGTTTAGGGACATTAAAGTTCAAGCAACAGATAGAATTAGATCAAAAGAGAGAATAACATATTTGGAAGACAAAGATTGCTGTAGCTTGTAAAACATCATCTGTTCCGCATGATTGTAGAAAGGGGCTCTTTCTCCCTCCTACTTTCTCCCTTCTCTCTTTCTCTCTCATTTTTCTCTCCCTTTCTCCTCTTCTTTTTATATCCCTTTCTTCTGTGCAGCCAATAGGCAGCCCCCGAAATCTCCCCTTGCCATCCAGTCCTCCTTCCTGCAAAGCCTGTCCCCCAAGTTAAACATGAAGGGGAGAGTGGGGGTGGCAAGTAAGACCTATGTTTCTTTTCCTTGGGACACAAGTTGTGACTGGTGCTTTAAAAACAGCATTTGCATGTTGCCGGTCTTCCATTATATCAAAGGTGTGGTACTGACATATTTGCTGAGATAATCAGACCAGCATGGGTATATAGGCAAAAGGATACGCCATGCAGTCAAGCTGGCCATATGACAAGGAGGTATCTATGGACTATGCAGGCTCTTTGGCTTGGAAATGGAGAAGAGCGCCTCCCCCAGAGCCGGAGATTAGCACCGCCTCCAGAGACGGAAATAAATGAGAAGTCGTTGACTTTGTCTGTGTTATATGTGTTTCATTGTATGTCACTGTAATAAGGCATTGAAAGTTTGCCTGTGTCTGTTTATATGCTGTAATCCTCTCTTAGTCCGCTTGAGGAGAAGGGCAGAATATAAACAAAAGTGTTGTTTATAATAAAATACTCTAGTGATTATTCATATTTTATCTTTAGATCAAAAGCCGGACCAAATTGATGCATCTTGGATCACATTAACAGCTGAACAGGTGGTAAATGTCATGGTGTGTGTGCTGTACAGTCCCAGTGAATTCTACTGCCAGTTGTACAGCCATAACGGTACGTATTTTTTTGTTCTTAATATTCTGCCCTGAACATAGATCTTGCATTTTAGAAATCTGTAGCTTCTCTAATTGCAGCTATGCTCTTTGGATCCTTTCATACTCACGCCTATCTTGTTCACATAGACAATAGTCTGACATGTATTCTCTTGGAATTCCCAGCTTCTCCATTGTGGTCATTGAATTGTACATATGGTAATTCCTGCTCATGCGCAGACAGCTTCGGCATCTTCTAGAAATATTTTAGACACTTTTAGGCGGTAGCCCCACAGTAGGGGACAACACATATTCCCATTCTTAAAGTTGGGAAGTATGCATGGAATGCATAATAACTTGAGCTATTTACTACTAGTTTTTGTAGATATATATTTATACTAGATTCAAGTTCATAACTTTTTCTTTTAACACTTCACTTTGTGGCATATGAACATGTTGCAACTACATACCTACAAAGCTATTTGTTTGAATAACATAGTGAATAGATTATTAATACTCTGATGAAATTTTGATAACCATTTTATTATCTAAAGGGGTGAGGGAGGGTAAAGTATTTTTGTCTTACTTTTGCAGACTTGATTGCACTAGAAGAACTTAATTTATCTTTAATGGAATACTGTGAGAAAGCAGCTCCGTGTGTTTCCAAAATCACAAAGGGTGAGCTGTGCTGTGCTTATTACTCTGGTAAGTTTTATTTCTGTTTCTCATTTTGCTCTATATTATATTGATTTTTCTAGTAATTTGCGTCTCTAAAAGAAATTGAATTTGTTCTATTAAATGATTGAGGGAAGTTTGGGAATGTACATATGTGAGGTTTTAAATATTAAGTTGGAAAAGTAAAGTATCTGTTTTTGGACTTCTAGTTCAAAATTTAAATTCCATTGTACAGTTGAATTTACCTAATTAGATAAGTTAGTTTATAAAGCAGTAAAATAGATTAGCAGAATTGTCTTGTCTTGGTTGAAGATAGATCTAAGGTTTGATGGTATTCATTGTTCTGAACAGCTTCTTGAATTACAGTTGATAAAATTTAGGGTTTCATGGAAAGTGGCAATGTGAAATGTGAAAAATGTATGCAATCTGTTTTATATGTATGCATAAAATAAGACATGATGGAAAAGGTCAAGCTTTTATTTATGAAAAAAGTGGATTTGTGTGCTAAATGTGGTAGTGCACAATTTTGGACCCATAAACTAGATTTAGAAAGCACGTGTGTACTCTTTCTTTTTCCTTCTCTCCATCCTCACTCTCAGCAAACCTGATATACTTTTTTCTTCACTGCATTACTAACAATAATGAAGGGGGGAAGTAGGATGGGATGGGGATTAGGGCATGCCTAAGAGTCTGTCTGTATAGTTGAATAATACAACATTTTTGTGCTTTTCATGCAATTCAGGTGATGGTAGGTGGTACCGAGCCTTAGTGAAAGATGCTATTTCTATTGAAGTTCAGTTTGTGGATTATGGCAATTGTGAAAAAGTTACCCTGGATAAAATCAGACCAATTTCAGCAACATTTATGAAACTCCCATTTCAGGCAATCAGATGTTGCCTAGCAGGTAAAGTTCTCAACTTCAGTAGTAAACAGTCTGTCAAACAGCAAATAAAACTGCAAGTTTCACTATAACTAAAATTTCACTAATCTTTTGCTGAGTTTGAAACAATGAATATGGTCTAATTGAAGGATTTGTAACCAGAGACGAATTCAGCATGGAGAAGCAGTCCACATAGTGTTGGGTGATTCCCTATTCCTAGCACAGTGGTTCTCAACCTTTTTAATACTGTTCCTCATGTTGTGGTGACCCGCAACCCTTTTTTCGTTGCTACTTCATAACCGCTACTGTTTTCAATTGCAAGATAAATATATGATATTCAGGATGCATTTTTATTGTTATGAATTGAACATAATTAAACCATAGTGATTAATCACAAAAACAATATGATTGGGGGAGGATAAACAACAGGTGATGGGATTTGCAGTACCCAGATTCAGCTCTGACTTCTGAGACCCTCACAAATTATAGACTTGGACCACACTTGGCACACAGAACCCCCATGATCAACAGAAAATACTGGAGGGGGTTGGGAGGAATTGACAGAGATTTACTGGAGATATAATTCACCTACATCTGGAGGGCATGAATCTGGACCAAACTTGGCACAAATACTCAATATGCCCAAATTTGAACACTGATGGGGTTTGGGGAAAATAGGTCCTGAAATTTGGGAGTTACAGTTGTGTAGATTTATAGTTCACCAACCATCAAAGACTATTCTGAGCTCCATCAACAATGGAATTGGACCAAATTTGGCATACAGGTCTACCATGACTAACAGAAAATACTGGAGGGGGTTGGGGGAGGTATTGTAAACCCCAACAGATGATGGGGTTTGCAATACCTTCAGTAACCAGCTCTGACATCTACAAAACCACTGGGCTCTCTCCCACTGCCAGGAAGCACAGCTGCTGGGAGAGGCCTCCTTGCCAGCCCCAAGAGGGGTGCAGAGACTGCTTCCAAGAGAGACACGTGCACAACTCCCAGAGGGCCATGCATTGGAGCCTCTGGGCTGCCCCTCGAGGCAGGGAGCTCCCTGGTGCCGGCCTCTGGATGCGCACTGTAAAGCACTGCAGCAGTGGCCCTCTTCCCCCGTGTGCTTGCCAACACATTGAATCGGTCTTCTCCCGGCGTTGGCAAGGGCATGGTGGAAGAGGGCTGGTATAGGGAGCACGCATCCAGGGGCCTTTACAGGATTCTCCCTGCACCGGCCCTGGATATGCACTTCCTGCTCCGGCCCTCTTTCCCTGCACACTTGCCAACGCCGGAGCACATCCCTCTCCTGGCGTTGGCAAGCATGCAAGGGGAAGAGGGCTGGTGCAGGGAGTGAGCACCCAAGTACAGTGCAGGGACAGCATGTCCTGCAGCAGCCCTCTTCCCCTGTGTGCTTCCCAACACCGGGAGGGAATGCGTGCCCAGGGCCCAGTGGAGGGTTCCTGCACCGGCTCTGGGCACGCACTCCCTCCACCAGCCCTCTTCCTCCACATGTTTCCCAGTGGCAGAGCGCGTCCCTCTCCCAGTGTTGGGAAGTGCACAGGGCTCTTCCCAGTGCAGGGAGCGTGCTCCCTCCACCGGTCCCTGAACGCGCGCTCCCTGCACCAGCTTCATGTTCAAGCAGGCTTTTGACCTCAAGTAGACTGAATGGGCCCTTATGAAGTTGACACTTGGCACTTTATTTATTTATTTATGGCATTTATATGCGGCTCTTCTCACCCCGAAGGGGACTCAGAGCGGCTTACAAGGTATATATTACGTACAATATATTATATTATTAGCATAGTACAATATCAGAATTAAAAATTACTATATTGCACCATATCACTATATTGTAATATTATTAGTAATATTACATGTAATATAAATATATAATTATAATATATTATTATATTGCAATACATTATATTATAAATATTATATGCATATACAATATATTATATTATATTATTAGAATAGCACAGGAGACAAGGTGGAACTATCCCCTGGCCCCCTCTCTCTTCACTCTGGCCCAGAGCGACAGTTGGTGTTGAGGAGAGGGGTCTCCAGCTGATGGCATATCCAAGAGACAAAATGGAATGTCCTCTGGCCTCCCCTCTCTTCACTCTGGCCAAGAGCGACAGTTGGTGCTGGGGAGAGGGGTCTCCTGTTGAAGGAGAATTTGTGAATTGATGATATCTAGTTTTATCTACTGTTCTTTTTAAAAATTGTATTATTTTGATTTTATGCTATATGTGTTGACAGGGATTGTTACAATTTTATGTGACTTGTTTTATATTTATGTACAATTTTTACTTGTTGTATGTTGTATATGCATCCTAGAGTGCCTTTGTAAGTCGCACCGAGTCCCTTCGGGGAGATGGTGGCGGGATATAAATAAAGTTTATTATTAGATGTAGCCCAATGGTACTTACCTTTAGAAAGTGTTCCAAAATGCATCCTTTGTGACCTCAAGAGCATTATATGAAAATTAAAATCTGCTTCTATAATACTTCATTTTCTTAGGTGTATGCCCAATAAATAAGGAATGGAGCAAAGAAGCAACAGCAGCACTTAAGAAATGGATAGTTGGAAAGACGCTTCAGGCGAAAATGGTTTCTTCAATCAAAAACAGTGCTGAAATTGAAATTACTGACAATAGTACTGGTAGTCCAATATTGATAAATGATATTCTAGTTGACGAACATTTGGCTTTAAAAAAAGGACTCGTGCCAAATCAAAAAATGCCTTCAGGTGAATTATTAGCTCATGATTTTCAAGGTGATTTTCTTTTGAATGACACTAGAATCAAAATAAATGTTTGTTTGTTTGTTTGTTTGTTTGTTTTTAAAAGACTAGGTGGCAACTCCTAGCTTGTTAAACATGTTGGCTAGAAAATGTAAGAAAGTGTTAAATCATCAGCCATGTTTCATATGTTTTATTGAAATGGCTTGGCCGTGGAAATAAGAGTGAAACTTGGAGCTTATTGGTAGATAAGGCACAACCGCATCTATTAATTTTAATAAAGCAGATGTTAATATTAAGTAAATTACTTTTATATAATATAGTGTTCCTTAAGGTTTTTCTTCCTCACAGATTAGTAATATGCTAAGGCACTTTATACATTGATGAATTGTAAACCATGCCTTTAAAAAACAAACTTCAGGGATATCATTTAATCCACAGAGTGAAGATGTAATTAATATTACATAGTTCAAGGTTCATCACTGTAACAATAGAAGACATAGTGAACCTATGCATAGCAGCATTTGTTAATGCACCTAAGAGCACATTTTTGTATCTGCTTTTTTACTGCTGGTAGGATTCTTTTTGCACTTTGTGCAGTTTTCCTGTAGTTTCCATCAGGAGATAGCTAAAGGGTTATTAGAGTCATAGTCCAGCAATATCTGCAAAGTCAATTGGCAACTGCTAATTTGTATCAGTACTAATTTTCAAGTAAGAGTAAGCACATGTATTAAATTTATATTGTGGAATATCATTCAACCTTAAAGCAGTATTGATTGCTGAATTGAAAGCAGCTGTTAAATGTATTCACACCTCAAATTGTAATGGTTCCTAAATTATTTGCCTGTTTCACAAAAAGTTAAAAGTTGTCAGTTACCATGACCTAATGCTACATTAAATATGAATCAACTTAACTTTGCATAATTAAGAATTTGAATACATTTTAATACTGTTTGTTTCGGATCAAGAGAAGTAACTGGGTAGCTGACTGCAGAAAACCCCTGAAATTTAGAAATGCCCGTTTACCTAGCTAGGCATCAAGCCAAAAGCAGATACAGTCTGTGTAGGAAGCCTACCAGGTTCCCTTTCTCATGTCTGCATTTTGAAATATGATACCCATGTTTGTGTGCCAGTGTCTTGAATGTTGGACTGCGACTCTAGAGACCAGAGTTCATATTCCTGTTCAGCCATGGAAATCCATTTTGGCAGCATTTAGCGTGTCACGCACTCCCAGTCTCAGGAAGGCAAGGGCAATTCCGCTCTGAACAAATCTTGTCAAGAAAACCATACAATAGGTTCGTCTTACCTTAAGTCAGACATGACTAGAAGGCACACAACATCATCCATGCTTGGATGTTGGGAGCAGAGGCCCTTCCATGCTATTAAAATTTAGCACCATGACTGCATTTTAGAGGATTCTGCCATTTTGTGATGTACTAGGAAGTTCCATAGGATGGAAGAGTGGGAGTTAGAAAGGAATCAAAGCTATAATTGCACAGTGTGAAAGCACTCCAAATCCTATTTTATATTCACACTCATTCATGAAACCAATGGTAGATCATTTTCATTTGGAACCTGTTACATGCAACAATTCATGAAGTTTGATTTCTAACTAATTTTATTTCTGTCTAATATTACAGAGGTGTCTCCAAATGTACAGTGGACAACAGTTAAATTTGCAGTTGGTGAAACAGTGTCTGTACGTGTAGTACATGTGATGAACCCTGGGTTATTCTATGTCATGCCAACAAAGCCCAAAGGTAAAGATTCATAGTCTGCTTCACCCACAAAAGTGTTCTTTACCACCAATTCGGATGTAACAGGAAATCATGGTTTTGTCACTGAGTAAGCAAAGAATGGTATATCTAAGTTTCCCATCCCTTCTTTCTGATACCTTGTTAGAAGGTGACTTGATGTTTCTGCTTCCTTCCCCCCTTACAGTTATTTGTAATGTGTTCTCAAATCTGAATAGCTTCTTATTCAGTGTACTGCTCAATGTTTATGCTCTTTGCCTTTTATTTTGTATTCCACCTCCCTCCACCTACACTGTATTTCTAACAGAGGTGAATCAGATATGGCATAACAACTTAAACACATGCAATGCTAGATCTGATTCACCCATGTTCATATGTATCATAAATGAACCTATCAAACCATGGGCCAATTAAAACCCATTGCACTTCCAATAGTTTATCAAAAGGAAAACCTTAACAATTGGCTCACACCATAGAAACAACCCTCCCCCCCCCTCCCAAAAAAACAAACCCTCTTCCATTGAAAGCAAAAACTTATGGTTAGATTTCCAGCTCTCAAAGAGCAGGAGACTTCTCTGCAGGAGTCTACCGTATACCATGCAGCTGTGGACAAGTCTACATAGGGACCACCAAACATGAATTAAGGAACATGAAAGGCACTGCAGACTACATCAACCAGAGAAGTCAGCCATAGCAGGGCACCTGGTGAACCAATCTGGACCAGCATATTATTTGAGAACACAGAAATGCTGGACCACTCTAACAACTAGCATATCAGACTACACAGAGAAGCCATTGAAATCCACAAGCATGTGGACAATTTCAACAGAAAGGAGGAAAACATGAAAATGAACAAAATCTGGATACCAGTATTAAAGAACTCCAAAATGATAACAGTAAATAAAGAACAACACTCAAGAACAAGGGAATTCCAGAAAAGAAACAATCAGGGCCAGTTAATCACCTACCAACAAAGGATTCTCCCAGGCCATAAGAAGCCAGACCTTGAAACTGCTAGACCATTTAATGCTAATCAAGGTAGTCAGTTGCAACATTCACACCTACCTCAAACAGACAAGAGTTCTTTCTCTCACCCTGGACATTCCACAGATATATAAACTCAATTTTCCTATTTCCAACAGACCTCACAACCTCTGAGGATGCCTGCCATAGATGCAAGCGAAATGTTGGGAGAGAATGCTTCTGGAACATGGCCATACAACCCGGAAAACTCACAACAATCTCGAGCAATTCATACAATCGATCGTATCCTCAGTACCAGTTCAAAATCTGCAGTAATTACTTATATCTATGTTTTAAGTTTCAAGAAGTTGCTTCTAGTAGGGTGCAATACTACAGAGTCCAATTTTTAACTTGTTAATTGTTTGAAAATTGTATTTGGTTCCATTGTAGTGAATCCACAAGAGCTCCATAAGTTAATGACTGAACTTGCTGATTACTGCAGCGTTCAAGATGGTCACATCTTAAACCCAAAAGTTGGTGAACCCTGCTGTGCCAGGTTCTCAGGTGAGGGAAATTTGTACTTATTTTTAATATACAAAATGTCCTGTACTGCTTGGAGGGAGATGTCTTGGAGGCTTGCTATTTGAAACTACACGTTGAAGATTTAATTTTCAATTATTATATGATAGGCCAGAAGGTTGAGATGGCATTACATGAAAGATCCACAGTGGTCAGAGAGCTGATATGTAAAATATCGGAATAACCAGAAGTTAAGAACTACACTACTAATTCCTTAGTTTCTCTCTGGTCTATGTGATTCTCTGATGCCATTTAGTCACAAACAATCTGGCCTGTGCAGTTGTCAAGTGATGAGAGCCTTGCTGGCAATGTATCATCTAAAACATGGGAGACAGCTTTCCTAAGAGCTTGTACATGTGCTCCGCTATACTGAGAGGTCTGTGTCTGTCATTTTTTTCTTAAAATATTTAAAACCTGATTTAATCTTTCTAAGATTGTTTCTAGGGGCCCTTCCACACAGCACTATATCCCAGAATATCAAGGCGGAAATCCCACAATATCTGCCTTGAACTGGGTTATCTGAGTCCACACTCAGATAATGTTGGATTTTCTGCCTTGATATTCTGAGATATGGGGCTGTGTGGAAGGGCCCTAGAGCACAGAGGGAACAATTTAACGATGTTCTGCTTGAAATTGGACTGCCTTTTCCCAAACAAGATGTTACTGGAAGCTGCCAATGAGGCAATTCCTCCTTGAATGCACTGTATAGACTATGGAGAGGTTTTTCATTAATTAAAAATTGAGGAGAAATTTAAGCAGTACTGCTCATTCCTGTTCCTAAAAATAAGTTAGGAGATGGATGGATCTCCAAATGTTGGGCACCATGATCAATTTGCAATCCAGTATTTATCTAAGAGAATTATGTTATTCATATGTTCATCTCTATTGGTCGAAAGGAAATCCAGTAAATCGGGCTCTCTTGTTTGTACCAGGTGAAGATATGAATGTGTCTGGAAAATGTTGGTTGAGTCGTCATTGGTTGTGTAGCTTTTAAAGAAAATTGGGGTGTGTGGGGGGAGAGTGGTATTGTGTATTCACACAACCAACTTAGCAAAATAAGCTTTGAATTTTTTTCCTCTCTTTTCTAGGTGATAACAAATGGTACCGTGCTCTTGTTCTGAGCATTTTAGTTTCAGAAGTGAAAGTAGTGTATGCAGACCATGGAAATGTGGAAGTGTTGCCATTTTCTAGACTACTGCCAATAACTTCCCGCTTTTTGGAATTACCTTTTCAAATACTGAAGTGTTCCTTAGCAGGTAGAAAACAAATCAGTGACATCTGTGATCTGAATGTGTTTCTTTGTTTAATACCTCATATTTACATGTACAGATCTATATTCAGTTGTTAGTCCTAACTACAACAGACCAATTGAATAAGTTAAAACTCTGTAGGTGCTAACCTTCCAGGTTCCCATTTATTCAGCAGGTCTACCATGAATTGGGACAAACAACTGGTTTTAACCTAGCAACTTGAATCTCAGTGAACAGTTAGCCTTCCATATCGACAGATTCTGTATCCATGGATTTTACCGTCCATGGCTTGAAAAATTAAAACAACAACAGAAACAGAGCTTGATTTTGCTGTTTTATACAAGGGGCACCATTTTATTACACCATTGTATGTAATCGGACTTGAGTGTCCACAGATTTTGGTATCCGGGGTGGGAACCTGATGGAAAACAGTTTTAGTTTAATTCCATAGTTGTACTAATATCCCACCCCCCTGCCATCACCATTTTACGCTTTTTTATTTTAGAAAGGGGAAAAGTAGGTTATAAATTATAATAAAATTTGCAATGTTCCACGGAGCAGGCATCATGCTTCTTTTCAGCTTTTCTTCATAACTGAGAAACAGTGACTTAATGTGACATTTTAGAAATAGAGACTTAATGTGGCATTTTATATTCTTTATAATATCTGAGCAATTCTACATGTGATTGATTCTGTTAGTGACAACCAGAATAGCAGTGACCTTTAAAACTGAGGACTCTTGAGGAGCTCACTGTGTTTGCCTGAATAACCTTTTTCTCTCAGGAAAGTACAAAAGTATGCAAGATATATTCTAGAAGTAGGCAAAAATAGTCAAATCTAATTCAGTACATGACATTATTTTTCACAGAGCTTCATATATAATTAAAATATTGAGTATTGGAAAATATTAACATTTCAAGTTGTAATACTATATTCATTTAACTAGCAACCCAACAGAGCTAAATAGACTTACTTTTGTGCCCACATGTTTTGAATTAGACTATTAGTAATCTGGACTTTAATTTAAGGTTTATCAATCTTCTAGGAATTACAGAACCAGCTGGAAATAGGTCCATATTACCAACAGAGAAGATAAAAAGTCGTCTCGTGTATAATGAGTCTGTCATAGTTAAGGTGAAAGGAATTAATGAAAATACTCATGAAGTAACTATCCAGAAAAATTGTGAGAATCGTACTCTAGAAATAGCAGACAAACCAGTAATCGAAAACTCCGTCAACTGTTGTGTCAATGGAAATCGTAAGTACTTTACACAGGAGGCAGTTCATGTTTCTGGTACAACTGTTCATGGGCTGTGTTAGGATTCATAACATCTGTTATCACATGCATAAAAATATGAGAAGTCATTTCAGTTGATTCTCGGTTAATCCGCATCCGTGAGGATTAGATGATGCTGGATAAATGTAGTTTCTGGTTGCTTCAGAGTTACTATTAAAATAGGTGTATTTAATATTATATCCCTATTATATTGTGCCACGAACTCTGTATTGATTGGATATTAATATTGAAATACAGTAATTAAAAGCAAAGTAAGTCAGATAAAGACAGACATAATGTTTATACATATGAATTGGCAGGAGACAAATGTGGTATTCGAAGCATGGGCTTGGTGTTAATTTTTATTTTAAAGTATATTTCTTCAATTTTTTTTCCGGTTGCTTGAGAGTTCCAGTTGCTTGAGTTCTAGTTATCTGTCTACTTAAGTTTACAAAACTGGGAATATATTCCTATCTTCATTCTCAGTGCTTATTACAATGGATTTTATGTCTTTTAGAATGTGCAGAGAAAGATAATTTCTGCTTTACAGATTGGAAAAAGCGAGTAAGTATCGAAAATTTAAATAATTGTTTCCAGAGCTAGTAAAATAGTGATTTTGAGATTATTATCCAGGTCACTTTATTCAGGCTATGAGACTAAAATGTCTGTAGTTGAAACGTGACAGGGAAACATAATGTTGTTGAGATTTCAGTGCATTTCATTTGATTTTGAGTGAGGACTATAGAGCTAAATATGTCTTTGGAACCAATCCAAGGTTGTAATTTAGCCTGGTTTTAAGATTTATAAAATTGGTAGTGTTAGACCTTGGCTTTTTTTTTTTTTTTAACCAATTTGACAAAGGAAAATAAACTCTGGAAATGGTGATTATGGAATCACAACATGAAAGTTCACCCAAACTAATATTTGGAAAGTTTGTATGTCTTTGGTGAGATGTCATTCTCAGAATTGCACAAGCCGCTTTGAGTCTTTTTCGGGAGAGCAAAAGCGGAGTATAAATTAAATAAATAAATAAATGAGGATCCATTGTGATTGAATTCCTCCCATGGAGTCCATGTTTCATTTTCAGTTTGGAACATATCCTTCTTAAACAGATTTTTTTAATCTCTTGCTAAAAAGGCCAGTGTGTTTTTCGACCCTTCTCAGATTGTATAGAGATTATTAAGGAAGAGATTGACAAAATATAAATATAAAGAAGTCCCATCAATCAGTTCTTGTGGGTTTTTTCGGGCTATATGGCCATGTTCTAGAGGCATTTCTCCTGACGTTTCGCCTGCATCTATGGCAAGCATCCTCAGAGGTGAGGTCTGAGGATGCTTGCCATAGATGCAGGCGAAATGTCAGGAGAAATGCCTCTAGAACATGGCCATATAGCCCGAAAAAACCCACAAGAACTGAGTGATCCCAGCCATGAAAGCCTTCGACAATACATAGTCCCATCAATGGCTGACAAGCAAAGCAGGGATGAGAAGAAAATAAAAAATCGATCACCCAGTTGACTGCTACACAGTGCGTCACTGTGGTTGAAAGAAATGGTAATTTTTAAAAGACATTTCTGATCTAAAGTGAAAATGCAGCAGAGGAATCTCAATCTTCAAAACAAATTAAAAACGGAGACAAGAAAATATGGTAAAATAATTTCCAAATTTATTGCATAATAGTTGAACTTTTCCCATTTTGGGAGGGAAGGGGCTGCAGCTATTATGCAGTCACAACTATTATTAAAGGAAGGGGGGTTCACAGTGTAATCGTCCCTTTGAGGGCTGATTAAGGCTCACCTGCCCTCATGGCTGTACCCTCAAAGTATAACTGCGGAAAGGGGAGGTGGACAGGGGGAGTTCAATGCCTTTTCCCATCAAGCTTGGCCCTGGCAAGCCTCCGTAGCTCAGGGTGGACAGGCGATCAGGTGGGTGAACTCGCTCACCTGCCTTTCCTCTCCACAGCTATGAGGGGCCTACTTCACATAATAGTCACATAATAGTAACGGTGCTCCTATTATGCAAGGAAATTTTAAAAACAAATTGGGACCCAGAAATGGGGATGAGACTATTATGCAATGAAATACAGTATTATGGGAAATAAAACTAGTGAAAGAAATAAGGGAATAAAGAAATTGCTGTACAGTTGCAGGACTTTGAATGTAGTTAGATGTAGGTTACTTAGCATCACTTTTTAAAATAACATGAGTAAAAGAGAGGACTGTTCAGTTATAACTTTGGTTCTTGTTTTTTTCAGGTTGTAAAGCTTGAAAAGATTGTTAGTTTTCTACTTAAAGACCGTTTCGGTGAAGATGAACCTCCTGAAATTGTGAAGTTTCTAGAACAATAAAGGTTCACTATAATACATTGTATGATATGCTTCTAGACCATATTATAATATATTATCATTGCACTTTTTAAGAATATGGACATAAGACAACAGTAATAATCATACTTGTGGAATAATACCGAATATTACTTTTCTAGATTTCACATCCTGAATATAATACCCTGTGATAGTAGAAACTGTGGTTTATTTTTAATATAAAGGTGAAGAACCTTTGGTCTTTCAGATGTTTTGTCTTGTGGTAAAGCCAGTGGTGAGAAATTGTGAGAGTTGTAGTTCAACAGAGCAGGAGGGACAAACATTTCCATAGTTTAAGCCAAAGAAGCAATTAATCTAAAGCTTTTTTCCCATTAAAAATATAGTTTATGTTCGCATTGTTAAGTTTAAAATTTTGTATTATGTTTTATGTGTTTAGTCTAATTTGAAATGGCTGTCTTTCAAAAATATTTGACACCTTCATAAGATACTAATTTTACTTAGCTAATTATTACCATTTTCTTAATTGTTCGTCTTTTTATGGAAATTAAGTTGTGCATTTATTATTTAGGACTAAAAGAAAACATATTAGGATTAAACCTATTGAGTCTTATCTCTTGAGGAAATATGCCTAGAATACTACTGTAAGTCATATCAAGAGAGTTTCATTTTTACATCTCTGTATGTTTTTTTCCATTCTGAGTATCATGTTCAACTGAATTTGTGTCATGTAATAAATGTGGGACGTTAGTAAATACAGAATGTAAATATTGCTGATTTGAGAGTATTGTAAACTGATGGTTTAAATCATTACTTATTTCAATTTAACATTAAAGTATCTCCAAAGTACAAATATGTACATGTATGCCTAGAAAGGCCAATATAGTATTAAAAGTTTTGTATTGCTTATTAAAAGGGTGGAGTATACAAGATCATAACAGTTTTCACTAGTATTGTCTGTCTTGGCATTCTATCTCCCAGTTCCTCACTAGTTTCTCTTCAGATCATATAAATCTTTCACTAGTATAAAAAAAGAAACCACAGTTCAGATTCAAATGTATGAACATTTTGCAATGTTTTGTCGAAGGCATGTTGTTTTTTTTGCATTTTACATCTCCCCACCCCCTTCCCATCAGAAAAACTGGAGAATGTACAAAATCAGTGCTGCTTAAAATAACTGATGTAGGGGGCTGGAAGGATGGGTATTTGTCCCTAGTAGCAGCTATCTGTGAATACTGACTACAGTTGTTTTTGCCCTCCTGTAAACATGCTGTGGACTGACTTCCAATGGCTCAGAGACCAGCACCTGTCTATAGACACTTGTTTGGATAGCAATGGTGTAGACAACACTATTGAAACCATAGAGTCATAGAGTTGGAAGAGATCACAAGGGTTATTCAGTCCAACCCCCATGTTGTGCAGGAACACAATCAAAGCACCCCTGACAGATGACCATCGAGTCTCTGCTTTAAAAACTCCAGAGATAGCAACTCACGACACTCCAAGACAGCATATTCTATTCCCAAACAGCTTACTGTCATTATGTTCTTCCTAAAGTTTAGGTGGTATCCCTTTCCTACAATTTGAATCCATTGCTACATGTCCTAGTTTCCAGAGCAGCCGAAAATAAGCTTTCTCCCTCCTCAATGTGACATCCTTTCAAATATTTAAACATGACTATCATGTTCTCTCTCAGCCTTCTTTTCTCCAAGCTAAACTTACACAATTCCTGAACCCATTCCTCATAGGGTTTGGTTTCCAAACTTTTGGTCATTTTGGTCGTCCTTCTCTGGACACCTTCCAGCTTGTCAGTATTCTTGAATTGCGGTGCCTCCCAGTATTCCAAATAAGGTCTGATTGAAGGGGAATAGAGTGGGACTATGACCTCTGTCTCAACAGTGTACTCCTATTGATGCAACTTAGAACCGCATTGGCTTTTTAAGCTGCCACAGTACACTCATGTTCAGCTCATTGTCTTCTAAGGCTCCTAGATCCCTTTCACATGGACTGTTTTCAAGGCAGGCATCACTCATTTTACATATTATTTTTATACCTCTAATACAAAAAACAAAGGTTTCTGCTTGTTTCCATCTGTGGGTTACTCCTAGTTGTTCTGTTGACTCATATATGCTGGTCAGATTTTCATATAGTTAATCTGTCTTTGTGGAAGAAGGCCACATACACTTGAGTACTTTTGAATAGGATGTGTGAATAGGAAGGAAATCTGTAGCTCTGTCCGCCCAGAAAATAGAAGTATACCAATAAGATGAATGTTCCTCAATGCAATTTCTTTGGTGTCTTAAAATAAGTTGACCTTGTGTGATTTCAAATCATCATATCACCCCTGTGACTATATTAATGAGGTAAGTGTACTTTACACAAGAAGCCATGTTAGCTTTATTGACTGTTCATTTTAGTAACTATCAAAAACAATTTTGAGAAATCTCAATAAAGGCCTTTGGGAAACACAGAAGGACATTAAGTACTTTAGACATTTTCCAATCTTCTGTTAAAATTTGGGCTTTCAGTGCATGCCAGTGAGTGAATTGGAGATGATTGTAAAACTGCAAAGCATCTTCATAATCTAGTTGTGCTTACAGATGGTGAGATTCCTCAAAAAGCACAGACCATCATTCTCTAAATTGCATTTCCTCGCAGTATGAAAGGAAATATATTCTAGAACTCTGAAGAACTTACTGCTTAGCCTAACTATATTGTTCCTGGCATGTCACTGAGTCTGTTGACTCAACAGACTTTCTATAAATGGTAAATGTCTCCTCTCTCTCCTATAATTCAGATAAAGGAAATAGAGATTCGCCACAGTTTGAAAGATGCCTTCCCTTCTGTGAGACCAGGATGAAGGAACTATTAAGTGTCGAGTCTTAGTCCTTGCGACCCAGCTCCAGGATGTCAAGCAGATGATTTTTCCATTCAGTACTGAAACCGCAAATGCTGAGCCAAACCAAAAGAGAAGCAACATGTTTTAACATGCTTTGTCTGTCTTATTTATTTATTTATTTATTTATTTATTTATTTATTTATTTATTTATTTATTTGCAGTATTTATATACCGCTTTTCTCACCCCTGGTTCTAACTGATCTAGAATGAGAAGATCATCAAATGTTAATCCTTAACAGGTGAATTTTTAGTCATTGCTTCTGAGAAAGAGACCCAGCCTGAAACCGGTTGGGGAAATGTGCAGAAGTGCCACCTGTGCCTCCATAGGAGCCTGTTTTATGTAAAAAGGGCAGCCCTCCAAGGTCTGGAGAGACATGTGTGCAGTTCTTAAGACCTCTTGGGAGTAGTTGTTTTTTTGTTTGTTTTTTTTTCAAAATGGAAGAGTGACACAAAAGCCCTAAGATACAGGAGCTTGATTTCTTCCGTGTACTTCTCAGAAGCTTGCTAATATGCCTGTCCATTAAACCTTTGTTACATTTTGCACACAGAGAGATCCCTTGCAGAGCCTTTCCATTAAGTTTGCCATTATCAGATTTAGAAGTTCAAGAGAGTATGTTTCTGGTACTACTTCAGACATCAAATAGCAGTCTTCACTCTAGGGGACTACCCAGAACTGATCATGGTCTACTCCCGCATTTAGTGGTGTTTCCTAGTGATTGCTCTTTTAAGATTTTACAGCCTTTTAATTATCTGTAGCAACCGGAATCTCCCTTTCATATGAAAACATAACCACACACAAACACAAGTAATCACAACCCTAATTTATTCCGAGTGTTTTGTGTGGCATTTCCATCACCAAAGATCTAAATCCCCATCAATCTCTTAACCTGATCACTTGCTGCATTTGCACAGTTGTCAAATACTACCTCTGCTTTATGGCTATTCAACCAAAGGCTGACCCTCTACCCCCACCCCCTGCCGTCCTCATTTGCTTGATACAAATAGAAAAGCTCTGTGCAAATTGAAACAAAAGGACACGGCATATTATTTGAGAACACATAAATGCTGGACCGCTAACTACTATGTCAGACTACACAGAAAAGCCATTGAAATCCACAGACAGTAGACAATTTCAACAGAAAGTAAGTAACCATGAAAATGAACAAAATCTGGCTACCAGTATATTTTTTTAAAAAACACCTCTAAAATCAGAACAATAAAGAGCAACACCCAAAAAGTAGAGGAACTCCAGATACGAATCAATGCAGGCCAGCTAACACCTACCAACAAAGGATTCCCCCAGGCAGCAACCAGCCAGGCGTTGAAGCTGCACGGCTATTAAACACTAATCAAAGTGGCCATTTGCAACATTCACACCTGCCTCAAGCAGACAGTTCTTCATCCCACCCTGGACATTCCACACATATATAAACCTCACTTGCTTAGTTTCCAACAGACCTCACAACCTCTGAGGGTGCCTGCCATAGATGTGGGTGAAATGTCAGGAGAGGAATCTTCTGGAACATGGCCATATAGCCCAGAAAACTTGGCAACCCAGTGATTCCAGCCATGAAAGCCTTTGACAACACATGAAACAATGGTGTTTCCAACAGCAACTATGACCACTATGCATAATTCAAGAGATCCATTCATTGCATATAAGATCCCTGGATTGACATTCAGGGATTTGAAGATCTAATTGGGTTTTTAAAAAAATTTCTTGATGACTAAATGACTTTGGAGCAAACATGATTAGTTGTAACCCTACCCTGGATTTAATGAGTGGGAGAGAAGTAGTCATGCTAAAAGAGTCCAGTAGCAAATATTACAGGACCACGTAAGGAATGAGATGGTTTAAACAGGTACTACGAGAAAGAGTTAGAGCCAGAGTTGGAAAAGACCACAAAAGCCATCCAGCCATGACTGCCACACACAAAGCCCTGACAGATGGTTATCCATCTCCTTAAAAACCTCCAGAGAAGGAGACTTCAACACACTCAGAGGCAATATATTCCAGTGCTTGACATCAAAAAGTTTTTCTAATGTTAGTGGTTCTCAACCTGTGGGTCCCCAGATGTTTTGGCCCTCAACTCCTAGAAATCCTAATAGCTGGTAAACTGGCTGGGATTTCTGGGAGTTGTAGGCCAAAACACCTAAGGACCCACAGATTGAGAACCACTAGAGTGGAATCTTCCTGCAATGTAAACCCATTGCTCCCTGTCCTCTTCAGAGCAGCAGCAAACATTTCAGATATTTAAATAAGACTATCTTGCCCCTCTCAACTTCCTCATCTCCAAGTTAAACATACCCAGTTTCCTAAACACTTCCTTGGGAATGTTCAATGTATTGTCGGCTTTCATGGCAGGAATTACTGGGTTGTAGGTTTTTCTGGGCTGTATGGCCATGTTCTAGAAATACAGCTTGTATTTCTAGGTGCAAAGATTACTGCAGATACTGACTGCAGCCAATAAATCTGAAGATGCTTACTTCTTGGGAGGAGAGCAATGACCAATCTCGATAAAATAGTGAAGAGTAGAGACATCACACTGGCAACAAAGATCCACATAGTCAAAGCAATGGTATTTCCCATAGTCACTTGTGGATATGAGAGCTGGACCATAGGGAAGGCTRAGTGAAGGAAGATAGGTGCTTTTGAATTGTGCTTGAGGAAAGATCTGAGAGTGCCTTGGACTGTGAGAAGATCCAACCAGTCCATACTTCAGGAAATAAAGCCTGTCTGCTCATTAGAAGGAAGGATATTAGAGGCAAATATGAAGTATTTTGGCCACATAATGAAAAGACAGGAAAGCTTAGAGAAGACAAGCTGGGGGAAATGGAAGGAAAAAGGAAGAGGGGCCAACCAAGGACGAGATGGATGAATGGCATCCTTGAAGTGACTGGCTTGACCTTGAAGGAGCTGGGGGTGGTGACRGCCAACAGGGAGCTGTGGTATGGGYTAGTTCATGAGGTCACGAAGAGTCGGAAGTGACTGAACGAATAAGCAAAAACAACATRGCCATGTTCTAGAACAGTGCTTCTCAACATGGGGTCCCCAGATGTTTTCGTCCTACAACTCCCAGAAATCCCAGCCAGTTTACCAGCTGTTAGGATTTCTGGGAGTTGAAGGCCAAAAACATCTGGGGGCCCCAAGTTGAGAAGCACTGTTCTAGAAGCATTCGGTCCTGACGTTTTGCCTGCATATGTGGCAGGCATCCTCAGAGGTTGTGACCTCACAACTTCTGAGGATGCCTGCCACAGATGCAAGTGAAACATCAGGAGAGAATGCTTCTACAACATGGCCATACAGCCCGAAAAACCTACAACAACCCACTGTTCCTTAGGGCTTGGCTTCCAGATCTTTGACCTTTTTGGTTGCCATTCTCTGGACAGGCAAAAGTGTTTTGTCAGGGTAAAAAAAAAACACCCAGTTGAAAAGTAGGGTGGGTTTTTCGTGGCCTCCTTTGCCCTCCTTCCTGACCCTGGTGTGTAATTGCTTGTTGACATTCCTGGCTTGCATTCCTTACCTTAAAGACATATACACTCCTTAGGGTGCAGCTTGGAGCCCCTTCAGCTACTCAAAGAGCTTCCTGAAATCTCTCCTGGAAGAAACTTCACTTTTGCAAATGGCAGTGGCTTTAAATATGTGAGACTTCCGAGAGAAGGAGGGCTCTCGAGCCAAGGGGTTTGGCATCACCCTGCTCCTTGAGCATCTTGTCAAAATGGCATAGAGCTGCAGTGTGTGTGTCGAGCTGGGATCTCCCTTGTCCCAGACCTACTCTCCAAACGAAAACAATCCATTTCGGAGCTTCTGGGGACCCCCAGTTCATGGAAAGAAGGTCCTCTTGTGTCCCACGTGCTCACCTAAGTCGTTGCGCACCGAAGAAGAGAGAAAAGGCAACCGGGGAAAGAGGGGAGGGGGGGGCTTTCAAGTCCCCTCCCTTTCTTCCCACCGCAAAAGAGCTCCATCCCCATTTCAGTCGCGCTCTGCTTACTCTTCTCGCAAGTGCCCTGTTCAGGGATCTGCAAGGGAAAGCAACAAACAAGGGAAAGCGCAAACCATCGGCAGCTCCTCTCTTTCCCCCCAAAACAGTGAGAAGGAAGACAAGAGGCTGCAGAAAGGAGAGGAACAGCCTGGGCGTCTTGCCGGTGGTGAACTGTATGGGTAAGTTTGGTGGAGTTTTAGCTTTCTCCACAAATTGGGCAGACCGTTGGGTGGGGGCTTAACTAAGGCTGGATGGCCACCTGTCGGGGGGTGGGGTGGGGTGGCTAAAGACCCGGCCTGAGTGATGCTGTGGACTTTGTGCTCGAAATCCCACACTATTGGAAAGCTGTCCAGAGTTTCCTCCCAAGAGGCTGGTCTTCAGGTATTTTGGAGACTGGGAAGCCTGCCTCCAGAGAGCGCACTAGGATGCCCGCGCACCCTGGAGCATCCTCTTGGTTTAATCCCAGCAATACAATGGGATTTTGGCCTGCATCAATAGTATAGTGTCTAGATCCAGGGAAGTCATGCTACCCCTCTATTCTGC